GGCGACAGAGGGAGACTCCATCTCGGGGGTGGGGGGGAAGAAATATATCTACCTCAGTTAAGTTACACCTGTGGACAAAAGTTCAGTTCCTCTTACTGAACTATTTTTCAAGTTTGATTATAAGCTGTTCGAGGCAGATTTCAGTGGGAAATAGGAAACACTGAGTCTGATTTAGAAGTAACTTTGGCAATTAGGTCTCTAACAGCACAACCACATACTAAATTCCAGACAACAGTCAATTATGAGGTGGTATGTTATTTCTCCGCCACCTAGATTTTTCCCCTCATCTATCTGAACCACCATAAATACACCAAAATTCGCCTTTCCCATTAGTTTTTTTTAGTTGGAATCCTTTAAAATTTTGTGTGCCTTTCATCTTTTAGACCAACAGTCTTACTTTCATGTTTAAAGGCAGTGACCATAACCGTTAAGTTAAACACAACGACTTAGATTGCCTAAATTTGGATATAGGCTTTTACCTACTAGCTGGATGAGTCTCTGGACTTCTTTTCCTCAACTATAAAATGGGTATAAAACAGCATCTACTTAGACCTGGCGCTGTGGCTCACGCCTGTAATCCCAACACTTTGGGAGGCCAAAGTGGGCAGACTGCTTGAGCCCCTGAGTTTGAGACCAGCTTGGGCAACATGATAAACCCTCCCCCTCCTAACAAAATACAAACAAACAAAAAATTAGCCAGGCGCAGTGGCATGCACCTGTCGTCCCAGTTACTAGGGAAGTTGAGGTGGGAGGATCACTTGAGCCTGAGAGGCGGAGGCTGCAGTGAGCAGAAATCGCGCCACTGCACTCCAATTTGGGTGACAGAGTGAGACCGCGTATCAAAAACAAAACAAAACAAATGAACCAGTATACTTATAAAAATAAACAACAAGCCGGGCGCAGTGGCTTATGACTGTAATCCCAGCACTTTGGGAGGCCAAGGCAGGTAGATCACCTGAGGTCAGGAGTTCAAGACCAGCCTGGTCAACATGGTGAAAACCCATCTCTACTAAAAATGCAAAAAATTAGCCGGGCGTGGTGGCAAGCCCCTGTAATCCTAGCTACTTGGGAGGCTGAGACAGGTGAATCGCTTGAACCCAGGAGGCGGAGGTTGCAGTGAACCGAAATCGAGCCACTGCACTCCAGCCAGGGCAACAAGAGTGAAACTCCGCCTCAAAAAAAAAAAAAAAAAAAAAAAAGAAAATAAATAACAAATATAAAGCACTTTAAACAGCAGTCAGTCCCTGGCACATCAGAGTTATAACCATAAAATAAAGATATGCAATCTTCTGAAGTATGATTCACGATTGTGTCTTATCTTTAACTCAGCATTAAAAATGAATTATAAGCAGAAATGTGCACCAGATTTCATATCATTCTAAATTTAAATGGTTGAATGTGTCCTCCTCAGCTAAGCATCTTAACAGCCACTGATGAGCAATCTAGTAAATTGAATTCGCTCAAAATAAAGAGGCTTCCCAAGAGTTCCCCCCATATCACAAATTAAGAGCTCTGATAAGACACCAACCAGAATCAATTAAATGTATATATTAACATGTACAAACCATTGAGTACCCTAAAAAAAAAAAGAGTAAGATCTTACTCCAGTTTAGTAGTTAACAGTGACAAAACACAAAGCAACTTGTAATTTCTATTAAAAACTTTAAATATTTTTCCTGTAAAACCACCAAAATAATTTAACAACAACAACAAAAATCCTAGGGGAGATAATAAAAATCAACTTTTGTATTTGAAGAAACGTCAAAAGGTACATTGAAAACTGACTCCCTGGGAAAGATGACAGTTTATTTTACTATTAATTTCAAAGTTTTCATTCACAAGTAGCATTTCACTCTTTTATCTTTTAAATAGATACAGGCTCCAGCACCTTTCCAAATACTGAAATTTACTGGTTTTTGTTTCCAATCTATGACTTTTTCTTTAAACTTCTGGATCTATCGGTTTAAAAAAAAAAAACAGGAAATAAAAGACAGCCTCTTGTTTAAAAGGGCACGACAATCAGGCACTCCATACTTAAAGTATGTTTTCACTTGTTAAAATGTCTTAACACTATTCTAGTAAATATCTCAAACTTAATAGCACCCTAATTTCCTTTCAAATATTGAATATAAAAGACCTTAGAAAAGATCAGCAGTCTACCAAAGTACAAATATAATTCTACTGAGGAGTGACTACCAATCACTTTACTTCTGGATAAGGTTTACACAAGAACATGACTTACTACTAAACTAAAACATGAACCACTATAATTAACTCCGTATTTTTCTGGTAAGCAATAATTATCAATGTTAAAAATATTTCAACAAATATGACAAGCCAACTTCAGAGCACAAAGTTGGCAGATAAAATTGACACCACAGCACAATTTCAAAACTATAAGCAACTATTAAACACGCACACCACACCGCACCACACCCATTCTTATGTAAACTTTCGGAGTACTCAACTTTGTGAGCCTCACCTTTGTTTTCACCTAGCATAAGGAGAGTTAAAGGTGAGACACCAATTGCAAAAAACTAAAAGATCAAAAGATTCAGTTAATGTCCCCACAGGGGAAACGACTAAAACCTTTAAACGTTAATGTATTTAAGTAATCGAAGGGCAGGGCACTTCCCCAAGCTACAGCCATTTTAGATTCAGACTTTCTTTCGAATTTCACGGGTTGGGGAGAACTAAATTTAAAACAAGAGAAAAAAAAAACACTTAAAACATTTCAGGATCGACCAGCTTTCCCCGCCCCTCCAAGGAAAGGAGGTTGGTAGACATTGGATAGACTCAATCTAAACGAAAACACCTCGCTACCACAGAGAACCGGAAAGCTGGGGGTTAAAACTTTTTTCTCCTCAGATATCCAACATTTGACTTACACTTTTTCGTCCTCAGGTTTTCCTTTGAAGGAAAACAAAAGCCCTTAGCTTTCATTTCAAGAAGGAAAGAAAAAAAACCCTTAAGCCAAGTCACTCAACCAGCACCAAGCCGCATCGCCTGGAGAGGAGCCAAAGAGCCGCAGGTGAGCGTTCCGACCCGAAGACCAAAGTTAAAGTAGGAGCGCTTTCGCGGAGCCCCAGCGACGCTCGCGTGCAAAGCTCCACGCACTGGGGTGGCAGGGGTGCCGCGTCCGAACCACTTGACCCGTGGGCTCCGCTCGCCCCTCTCGGGTCGGACCTACACCCAACCACCTGTGTGAGAGCTTCTTTCAACTAGTTTTAACAGCCGGTTGGTTAGGCACCGGGCGGAGCCTCGCGCCGGAACGACTCCAAGATCTCCTACTGCCCCGTTGTCCCAAACTCCCACTCACCGGGCAGCGGCGGAGCTACGGCCAGGGACTAGACGCGGCGTCTGAGGACGCGTCCCCAGCTTGTCGACCCGGCAGAGGCGTTTAGTTCACAACCATAACAAAGCTCTTCCCAAAATGGCTGCCCGGCCCACAAGGTCCAGGAGGGGCAGAGCGGGTGGAGGAGGAGGAGCGACGAGCAGCACGGCCCTCCCCTCCCCCGTCCGACCCCGCCTTACACACGCCCACCTGAAGAAGCGCATGCGCACGGGACCGGCTCCGGCGGCCCAGCCGGACACCAGTGCCCCACGCTGCAAACGTTCGGCCTCCAGAACGGCGGTTATGCCCTGCCCCGCCCTCGGCTCCCTTCCTCGCCGCTTGAGGCGGTGCGTGGTCGCCTCTGCCTCCTACAGAATTGAATCCTCTGTCTTTCCTCGTGCCGCCTGAGGCAGGGACAAGCCTAGTTTAGTACACCCCTTCTAACCTCCCCTGCCCACTTCCAGGGCCTGGGCGCGTATGAATGAGTGGGTGGGTATGCATATGTGTATCCCTTTTTTCTTCACCCTCCCACAGCCCGCCCCTGGGCCAGTGCGCGTCCCGAAACTACCTCTACAAGGACTTGCAAGCCGGTTTCGGAGGAACGTGTGTTTTCCGGCCCTTTCCCACCTTCTGCTCCTTCACGTGTGCGCGTCGTTGAGACTCCAGCCCCCAGCGGGCCACACGGCCTGCTCCCGGAGACTGCGCGGCTTCGTCGGCCGCGCTACCCGCTGGGAGTAGTAGTTCCCCGGGAGCGCAGGCGTCACTGCCCCGCCCCAGCGAAGGGCGGGATTCCGGCGAGAGCCTGCGCTTGTGACAGTGCCGTTTCTCCTACCTGAAGTCTCATTGGGTATCGCGCTACTGGAAGGGGCGGCGCTGCCATGACAGAGGAGGCAATAAAACTGAAGGCCTAGCTCGACCAAAAGCGCTTTAACGGACTTCGCTGTGGTTCCATCCGGCACGGAAAGCTAAACCTTGTAATGGCTGGCAACCAGGAAGCTAGAATACCTAGAATCCGGAGGACTGGAGGGACTGGCAGGCGTGGGCCCCTGAGATCTCCTATTACATGTCTTCAGCTTTATCCATAGACACGGAAGGACACTTAAGATTGCCTGGTGCCATTTCCTGTGAAATAAGTCCAGATAAGAGAAGGGACTTGCCCAAGGTCACATAGCCGAGAAAGCCGAGGGCAGCAGAAGAAATGATCTGACTTTCCCAACCATCCCCAAGCCTAGGGCCCTTATCACCACACCGTTCATGGAAGTGAAAATCCTGCTCTTTTGCTCTTTAATCCTTAATGAAGTTTCTAGGTCCTAGCAAAGAAAATGAATGTAAGAACTGGGCTTTTTTCCCCCTTTAAATGATAGTAAAGGGCCGTAATGCAGAGTGAGATGTGTCCCCATAGGTCTTATAAACCCTGTTTTACAAAGTAAAACGTAAGTTCCACAGATGGCAAGCAATTCCAGGTCACATTGGGCCTAAAATCCCAAGTCTCTTACCTTCCTTCACCACCATCATTCTGAGATTGTTTCAGTACTTGCACTCTACCTTCCCGAACTCTGTGGGCAGATTCTGCTGCCTGGGAGCCCTGGAATAAAAAGTCAAGGACCGTTCGACATCTGGATTCAACTAGAAATTAAGAATGGCCCCCAAACAGAAAGCCGGGCATAGGAACCAGTTAGCGCAGGTCAAGTCCCTACCCGGACTCATTTTTTTTCAGTCCTCAGGAAGTAGGGGGCTCTCTGAATCCACTTGCCGGAAGTGCCTTTCCAGTAGACCTGGGCTATTGTTGCGGTTGTTCTCCACCTCTCCGTGCAACGCTGGCAAGTATCAAAGTCGCCACAGGTGCAGGTTGGGATGGGAGGCACCAAGGATTGGTAGTAAATTGGAGACGCGGGCACTATCGGGCAGGGTTTCCCGAAGACACTGGCGTCTAAACCCCGCCTTCCTTTCTCAGAGGTCAGTTTGAAGTTTGCGGTTTGCAGTCTTCCCACTAGGGCAATGGGAATATTGAGCTTTTTCATTTATATTAGGAGGAGTAAGCTTTGAGTCTCAGTCCTTAATCCCGCATCACCTGCCGTCCCTGGTCTTTAGGTTATCACTTTTTAATATCCACTAGTTGGAAAGCACGTGCCACAGAGGAAAGGGAGTGTCCAAAGGTGGGGAAGATGGTTGAGATTTTAAACGGAGTTATCTGGAAAGTCCTTACAAAGAAAGTGATTTTGCACAAAAGTGATGAGTACGCTCTGCGGACATTTTGGTCTGGGGCTCAGGTGGGTGGGTGTGGGTGTGTGGGCCTTCTACTCGGAGGCCCAGGATAACTTACCTCCCTATTTCCTTAAGTATAGCATGAAGACATTAACTGGTATACAGGATTTCTTGAACCAGCCCTAAGATCTGTGATCAATAAATTAGTTCAATCGGTTTTTTTTTTTTTTTGAGACATAGTCTCGCACTGTCGCGTGGGCTGGAGTGCAATGGCACGATCTTGGCTCACTGCAACCTCCGCCTCCCAGGTTCAAGCAATTATCCTGCCTCAGCCTCTCGAGTAGCTGGGATTACAGCCGTCCGCCACCACGCCCAGCTAATTTTTTGTATTTTTAGTAGAGATGGGGTGGTGGTGGTGGGGGGATGTTTCACTGTGTTGGCCAGGCTGGTCTCGAACTCCTGACCTAGTGATCCACTCGCCTCGGCCTCACAAACTGCTGGGCCTACAGGAGCGAGCCACTGCGCCCTGCCCAATCGATTTTTTTAAATTAAGCAGCAACTGTAGGTTTTTTTAGACATCCCATTCTCCTGGTTAAGAATGAAGTTGTCAGATCTAGATCCGTATTATCATTCACCTGTTTTTACTGGCTGCTTACATTAGAGTTTTCAATCAGTCCCTCCTGTGTAAAGTGCTTTGTGTCAGGGACAGTTCTCAGCTATTTACATGTAGTAACTTATTAAGTGTTACATCAGGCTAAGTGGCACACACCTGTAATCCCAGCACTTTGGGAGGCCGAGGCAGGTGGATTGCTTGAGCTCAGGAGGTCGAGACCAGCCTGAGCAATATGGCAAAACCCCTTCTATACAAAAAATACAAAAATTGGGGCCAGGCGCGATGCCTCACGCCTGTAATCCCAGCACTTTGGGAGGGCGAGGCAGGTGGATCACGAGGTCAGGAGATCGAGACCATCCTAACACGGTGAAACTCCATCTCTACTAAAAATACAAAAAAATGAACTGGGCTTGGTGGTGGGGGCCTGTAGTCCAGCTCCTCAGGAGACTGAGGCAGGAGAATGGCGTGAACCTGGGAGTTCCGTGAAGCTTGCAGTGAGCTGAGATGGCACCACTGCTCTCCACCCTGGGCGACAGAACAAGACTCTGTCTCAAAAAAAAAAAAAAAAAATTAGCTGGGCGTGGTGGTGTGGCCTGTAGTCCCAGCTCCTTAGAGGGCTGAGGTGGTAAGATCCCTTGACCCTGGGAGGTCAAGGCTGCAGAGAGCGGAGATCACACCACTGTACTCCAGATTGTGTGACAGAGCGAGACCCTGTATCCCAAAAAAAAAAAAAGTTACATCAACCCTATGAATTAGTTAGTACCCTTATTTCAAAGGTGAATGAACTACACCATAACAAGGTTAAATAATTTGTTCAAAGACACACAGCTAATAAGTAGTGGAGCCAGGATTCCAACCAAGTTTGACACCAAAGTCTGCACTCCAACAGGCTATTCTCTCTCTCAGTACTAAGTTAATGAGGTTATTTTGAGCATTAAATGAGTTAATGCTAGCCAGGTGCGGTGGCTCACGCCTGTAATCCCAACACTTTGGGAGGCCTCAGCAGGTGGATCACCTGAGGTCAGGAGTTCAGGACCAGCCTAGCCAACATGGCAAAATCCCATCTCTACTAAAAATACAAAAATTGGCCGGGTATCGTGGCGGGAGCCTGTAACCCCAGCTACTGAGGAGGCTGAGGCACAAGAATCGCTTGAACCCAGGAGGCGGATGATGCAGTGAGCCAAGATCATGCCACTGTACTCCAGCCTGGGTGACACAGCAAGACCCTGTCTCAAAACAAACAAAAAAACCTAAATTATATTGGTTTGGTACTATTGTTATTTTGAGTTGTGAACTCTTAAGCCCCAAAGTAAATAACTAAGGAGAAAAAAAGGAAACAGAGAAGCTATGACCTTCCAGTTTTGTTTTTTTTTTTTTTTTTTATTTCACAAAAATGCCATTTAGAAGACCCTTCATTTTAAAGATGAGAAAACTGGTACTCAAGCAATTTGCCCAGTGTCACACAGCTAGGAAATGGTGAAAGTATCTATAAAATCTCTATGTGCATTACTCTTTCTATTACACCAGACAGCCAAAGCTAGAAGAACAGTTCAGGTATTAAAAGGATCTATTGGCCGGGCGCGGTGGCTCAAGCCTGTAATCCCAGCACTTTGGGAGGCCGAGACGGGCGGATCACGAGGTCAGGAGATCGAGACCATCCTGGCTAACACGGTGAAACCCCGCCTCTACTAAAAAATACAAAAAACTAGCCGGGCAAGGTGGCGGGCGCCTGTAGTCCCAGCTACTCGGGAGGCTGAGGCAGGAGAATGGCGTAAACCCGGGGGGCGGAGCTTGCAGTGAGCTGAGATCCGGCCACTGCACTCCAGCCTAGGCGACAGAGCGAGACTCCGTCTCAAAAAAAAAAAAAAAAAGGATCTATTTCGTGTTACCGATAGTTTGAAAACATTAATGATTCTTTTCAAAGGAAACTGATATATTCATGAATTACTACTATTTAAAAATTAATGTATAAAATGAGAAAATTAAGTGACATCTTGTGTTATACACAGAAAAGCCCCTGATTCAGTGCCTCCACTTAGCTGCAACAACTCGTTAATCAGAACTGCCTGGCATCTTCCTAAACAAGACTTTCAATAGGGGCCAGTATGCTTCGCTTCATCCAGAAGTTTTCTCAAGCATCTTCAAAGGTTGGTTTGTTTAGCAAATATTTGAGCACTATTTGCCAAATATTGCTTGGGCGAGGGCAGCAGCAGTGAAAAAGACAAAAAGTCTTACCTTTGTGTATTCAGGTGATGGAGGGAAGAGTTAAGTAAAATACAAGTAAAATCTTTATTATATCAGGCTGGGTGCAGTGGCTCACGCCTGTAGTCCCAGCAATTTGGCAGGCCAAAGTTGGTGGATCACTTGAACTCAAGGAGTTCAAGACCAGTCTGGGCACATGGCAAAACCCTATCTATACAAAAATTTAGTTGGGCATGGAGTCACACGCCTATAGTCCCAGCTACCTGGGAGGCTGAGGGAGGAGGATTGCTTGAGCCCAGGAGGTTGAGGCTACAGTGAGCTGAGATCATGCCACTGCACTCCAGCCTGAGTGACACAGCAAGACGATGTTTGCAAAAAAAAAAAAATTGGCCAGGTGCCGTGGCTCATGGCTGAAATCCCAGCACTTTGGGAGGTTGAGGCAGGTGGGTCACTTGAGGTCAGGAGTTCAATACCTGCCTGGCCAACATGGTAAAATCCTTGTCTCTACTGAAAAATACAAAAATTAGCTCAGCATGGTGGGCGCCTGTAGTCCCAGCTGCTTGGGAGGCTGAGGCGTAAGAATCACTTGAACCCAGGAAGCCAAGGTTGCAGTGAGCCAAGATCACGCCACTGCACTCTGGCCTGGGTGACAAAGGAAGTCTTCATCTCAAAAAATAAAAATTAAAAAAAATAAGGCCAGGCACAGTCACTCATGCCTGTAATCCCAACACGTTGGGAGGCCAAGGCGGGCGGATCACTTGAGGTCAGGAGTTTGAGACCAGCCTGGACAACATGGTAAAACCCTGTTTCTACTAAAAATACAAAAATTAGCTGGGCGTGGTGGCGGATGCCTGTAATCCCAGCTACTCAGGAGGCTGAGGCAGAGAATGGCTTGAACCTGGGAGGCAGAGGTTACAGTGAGCAGAGATTACACCACTGCACTCCAGCCTTGGTGATAGAGCAAGACTCAGTCTCAAAAAAATAAAAATTAATACATCAAATGGTAAGTGCTGTGGAGAACTATAAAGCAGGGAAGTGGAATAGGTAGTGTCAAGATGTAGGATTGAATTTATAAATGGCAGGGGATCAGAAATAAGTAACTGAGGAAAGAGCAGTAAATATGGAAATGGGAAATGGTTCCAAGATGGAACCATTCCTAGCATGTTTGAGTGATCACTGAGATTCTTCAATAACTTCAATTTTTGCTGGGCGCGGTGGCTCACGCCTATAATCCCAGCACTTTGGAAGGCTGAGGTGGGCGGATCACAAGGTCAGAGATCAAGACCATCCTGGCTAACATGGTGAAACTCCGTCTCTACTAAAAATACAAAAAATTAGCTGCCGGGCGTGGTGGCAGGTGCCTGTAATCCCAGCTACTCGGGAGGCTGAGGCAGGAGAATGGAGTGAACCTGGGAGGCGGAGCTTGCAGTGAGCTGAGATCAAGCCACTGCACTCCAGCCTGGGCAACAGAGAGACTCTGTCTCAAAAAAAAAAAAAAAAGAAACTTCAATTTTTTCTTTAATGGAACACTTTTTAGTTCAAGTCTGGTAACTAAAACACAGAATCAGCAGGAAAGGTTATTACTTTGCCCGTGTACAATGAAAGGCACTGGGGATTTTAAGCCCAGGATTTTAAGGAAAAAAATACGGTCCTGGCTCTCAAGTCTACTGAGACAAAGACAAGTAAACACACAATTTTAATTCACTGTGAGAAAAATTATGATGGAAGTGTGCACAGGATACTTACTATAGGAGCATTAAATCAGACTGTAGAAGGGTAAAGGAAAGCTTTAACTTGAATGTTGAATGTTGAGGTAAGTCTCCTAGATAGAAAAGTAGTAAGAGCTAGAATTCTAGGCAGAGCCTACACAAAGGCATGGAATTGTGAAAAGTATGTGGTGTTTATAAAGCTAAGTTGGAAGGTAGATTTATTTTCTCCATATAAAAACAGCATTCTCACAGTAATTAGTGCTGCTTCTTTTGCTATTTATAAATAAAAGAGGCAGTTTAGAAGGACAAATTCTGAAGGTCTAGTCTTTACCTGATCCTTTTTCAGATATTTTTCTTATGGAATAAGATTAAGTGGTAGGTTGAAATATATCACTGGTTTGTGTTCAGTGGTTTCTTTTGTACATTTTATAGCCATTTAATACTTTTACCAGCAATAACATCACTTCAGAGTTAGTTCATCCTTTCTGTATAGTTTGATGTGGTAATGGAAAGCAGATCTTTTTTGTTTGCTCCTTTCAAACAATTCCAATTGTTTCATACTGGGATTGACTAAAATCTGATGATACATATAGATTTTTAATTTTGTCTTTTGGTTCTGTTTTCTTTATAGATGCTGAAGTGCTCTTTCCCAGTGGGACTAAGAGCCAGCAGAACAGATACACTTTCTCTCAAGATGTCTCTCCAGCAGAACTTTTCCCCATTTCCAAGGCCTTGGCTTTCCTCATCATTTCCGGTGTATATGAGCAAGACACAGTGCTATCATACATCCCCCTGCAGCTTTAAAAAGGAGAAGCAAGCACTTCCAGCCAGGTCACCAAGCACCATCAGTTACATAACTGACAGCCCAAAGCCAGCATTATATGTAACTCTGGCAGGACTAATCCCCTTCGTTGCTCCACCACTGGTCATGCTGATGACAAAAACTTATATTCCCATATTAGCTTTTACTCAGATGGCTTATGGAGCCAGTTTCCTATCTTTCTTGGGTGGGATCAGATGGGGTTTTGCTCTACCAGAAGGTAGTCCAGCCAAACCAGACTACCTTAATTTAGCCAGCAGTATAGCTCCTCTTTTCCTTTCATGGTTTGCCTTCCTTATTTCTGAAAGACTTAGTGAAGCCATAGTCACAGTAATAATGGGTATGGGGATAGCATTACACCATGAATTTTTTGTCTTACCACATTATCCCAACTGGTTCAAAGCCCTGAGGGTAGTAGTCACTTTATTGGCTACTTTTTCATTTATAACCACTTTTGTAGTTAAAAGTATTTTTCCAGAAAAAGGACATAAGAGACCTGATCAAGTATAAAAAATATAAAAATACACTATAGATAACATTAGTATGCCGGCTACACCTTCTTCTACTTCTGTTTGGCTCTTTTTTCCCACACCAATGGTAATTTATTCTTCATAGATTGTTCTTCATTTCTAGAAGTTGTTATTTCATAGTAATTACTTGAGCAAAAGCTTGAAAATCCCTGACAAGTACTTTTCTTTTCTTTTTTTTTTTTTTTTTGAGACGGAGTCTCACTCTGTCGCCCAGGCCGGAGTGCAGTGGCCGGATCTCAGCTCACTGCAAGCTCTGCCTCCCAGGTTTACGCCATTCTCCTGCCTCAGCCTCCCGAGTAGCTGGGACTACAGGCGCCCGCCACCTTGCCTGGCTAGTTTTTTGTATTTTTTTAGTAGAGACGGGGTTTCACCATGTTAGCCTGGATGGTCTCGATATCCTGACCTCATGATCCGCCCGTCTCGGCCTCCCAAAGTGCTGGGATTACAGGCTTGAGCCACTGCGCCCGGCTGACAAGTACTTTTCATCTCATAGTATATTAGTTTTCACTCATTCATTTTACGAATAGTTATCCACTTAAACATTTCAATTATTTTAACTGTCTTGAAAATTAAAATAAAAGATTAAAAATCCCCTTTGTTAGAGTCCTGTGATCATTGAAAAGAATGCACATATTCTCCCACTTCAAGCGGAAAACGTCCTATCTGTGAGTGTCTGGAAAGAAAAGGTAGTTCCATTGAGGAGTTTTCACAGGAGTTACTACTGGGAAATGCATGTACAAGCTTATTTCACATGGTGTAACCCAATTATATGAGCCAAAAGGATCTATGGCTCTAAAGTCAGTAGGGAGCAGTGTCATGAGGGAAAGCCACATTCAAAGGTAAGTCGGGCATGTTTTCCAGTTTTTATTAGGATATTTGGCATGGTATAGATACAACTTATCCCTTACCACCAAACACATAATATAGCTAGTCAAAATGATTATTTTTAAAGGAAACTATTTAAAATAAAGCCACTAGTACATATAAGTTAGGAAAGAAAAGTCAAGCTGGAACCATCTTGATATTCTAATGAGCAGGCCTATTTAGTTCTACATCTTTTTTTTTGAGATGGAGTTTCATTCTGTTGCCCAGGCTGGAGTGCAGTGGCACGATCTTGGCACACCGCAACCTCCGCCTCCCGGGTTCAAGCGATTCTCCTGTCTCAGCCTCTCTAGAGTAGCTGGGATTATAGGCAAGTGCCACCATGCCCAGCTAATTTTTTTGTGTATATTTTTAGTAGAGGTGGCGTGTCACCATGTTCGACGGGCTGGTCTTTTAAATCAGAGAGAAGCTTTTAACTTTGGTGTGTTTTTGTTTTCGTTTTGTTTTGTTTAAACACAGGGTCTCATGCTGTTGCTCAGGCCGGAGTATAGTGGTGTGGTCATGGCTTACTGCAAGCCTCAACCTCCTGGGCTCAAGCAATTCTCCCACCTCAGCCTCCTGAGTAGCTGGGACTACAGTTGTGCACCACTACGCCAAGCTAATTTTTACATTTTTTGTAGAGACAGGGTCTCCCTATGTTGCCCAGGCTTGTCTCGAACTGAGCTCAAATGATCTTCCTGCCTAGGCTCCCAAAGTGTTAGGATTACAGGTGTGAGCCATTGCACCCAGTGCAGAAGCTTCCTTAAAACAGCAAAAGCAACTCCTTAGATTTTCACTTGAAAACCTAATCTCGGCCGGGCGCGGTGGCTCAAGCCTGTAATCCCAGCACTTTGGGAGGCCGAGACGGGCGGATCACGAGGTCAGGAGATCAAGACCAGCCTGGCTAACACGGTGAAACCCCGCCTCTACCAAAAAAGACAAAAAACTAGCCGGGCGAGGTGGTGGGCGCCTGTAGTCCCAGCTACCCGGGAGGCTGAGGCAGGAGAATGGCGGGAACCCGGGAGGCGGAGCTTGCAGTGAGCTGAGATGTGGCCACTGCACTCCAGCCTTGGCGACAGAGCGAGACTCCGTCTCAAAAAAAAAAAAAAAAAAGAAAACCTAATCTCTAATCACCCTACTTAAGGTGGAGAAAAAAAAGAACAAAAAAGAAAACCTAGTTTTCTGAAATTCTTAGTCTCACCAAAAAGGAAAAACATTTAAAATGGTATAAGAATATAGATCAGGATATAGTATAACCTGGAATTTTTTTTTTTTTTTTTTTTGATGGAGTTTCACTCTTGTTGCCCAGGCTGGAGTGCAATGACGCTATCTCGGCTCACCACAACCTCTGCCTCCCGGGTTGAAGCGATTCTCCTGCCTCAGCCTCCCAAATACCTGGGATTACAGGCATGCACCACCATGCCCAGCTAATTTTGTATTTTTAGTAGAGACAGGGTTTCTCCATGTTGGTCAGGCTGGTCTCAAACTCTCAACTTCAAGTGATCCGCCCGCCTTGGCCTCCCAAAATGCTGGGATTACAGATGTAAGCCACCATGCCCGGCCTGTATATTTTTTAGAGATGATGTTTCCATTCAGTCTCAAAACAATCTGATAAGGAAACTCACTTCTTTGTTACTAAATTGCATGAATGCTATACAAACTTAAGACTTTTCCATAATCTGAATTAAATGAATTATTTTCCAGAATAGAGGCAAATCATATTTTTAGGCTAATTGCCTAATTTTACTCAAAAAATGCTAGTTTCCAGGTGAATTACAGTGTGTGCTTCTTTAAGAAAACTGGTTTTTAAGTACATTTGATTAAGTATATTGGCAGGATACTTAGAAGCATATCGGATTGTTAAACATTTTGGAGGTAGATCACTTTAATCATTTCTCAAAAAACAGAATTAAATGTAAAACTAAATATGCAAGTCCCTAAAGTAAAAACAAAACCAACTAAAAAACTTGTGCAATCCTACTACAGTTTGGTAACCCAGAATGCCACTGATAAAAGTAATACAAAGAAACAAAAAAACTAGATACTTTATTAGTACATTCTTTTAAAAACAATCTTGTTGGCCTGGTGTGGTGGCTCACGCCTATAATCCCAGCACTTTGGGAGGCCAAGGCAGGCAGATCACCTGAGGTCGAGAGTTCGAGACCAGCCTGACCAACATGGAGAAAACTTGTCTCTACAAAAAATACAAAATTAGCCGGGCGTGGTGGTGCATGCCTGCAATCCCAGCTACACAGGAGAGTGAGGCGGGAGAATCAGAGGCAAAGGTTGCGGTGAGCCAAAATCGTGCTATTGCACTGCAGTCTGGGCAAAAAGAACAAAACTCCATCTCAAAAAAACAAAACAAAACAAAACCAATCTTGTCATTACCTAGGAATAATAAGCATATTTACAGTTACCACAGTTACCTATTTTCAGGGATCTTCAGGACCTGTTAAACACTGACTGCTTTGACATTACATTTCTGCCAAGCTGTGCAAAGCAGCCCCCTCCACAGTGTCATTTTCAGTTGCTACTAGACAATAATGAGAAATTAGTTGTAGAAGTATTTTGTAAATCTGTTTTGGATCAGAATACAGATTCTCTGTAACTAGAAATAGTAAAGGCACATGAGTTAGAGCTTAGTCTATAAATTATCTGTATACTTTATTCTTTGACATGTTACAGATCTCTACACAGACATCTGTGACCCTTCAGACATTCAGGATGCCCCAGAGAAGGGAACATAGGGCTTCCTGCGTGCATTACATAAACTTTTCCTAATAAATACACATGGTTAAGTTATAAGGAAAGTATACTTGTGGACTAAACCAAGTATTTTATTTTTTTGAGATGGAGTCCTGCTCTATGGCCCAGGCTAGAGCACAGTGGCATGATCTCAGCTCACTACAACCTCCATCTCCTGGGTTCAAGTGATTCTCCTGCCTCAGCCTCCTCAGCAGCTGGGATTACAGGCATGCACCACCACCTGCTGCCAATTTTTTGTATTTTTAGTAAAGACAGGGTTTCACCATGTTGGCCAGACTGGTCTTACCTCAAGTGATCTGCCCACCTCAGTCTCCCAAGGTGCTACGATTACAGGCATGAGCCATGGTACCCGGACTAAACCAAATAATTTGGATATGAGTGCTACCTGATTTAAAAGTTTTCTATCTAAATAAGTTGATGATGCTTATAATAATCTATGGAAGGACCTTAGTAAAGACACGGGAAATCGGCAGAGCGCAGTGGCTCACACCTATAGTCCCAGCACTTTGGGGGGCCAAGATGGGCGGATCACAAGGTCATGAGTTCAACAACAGTCTAGCCAACATGGTGAAATCTCATCTCTACTAAAGATACAAAAAATTAGCCGGGCATGGTGGCTCACATCTGTAATCCCAGCTACTCGGGAGGCTGAGGCAGGAGAATCGTTTGAACCAGGGAGGCAGAGATTGCAGTGAGCTGAGGTTGCACCATTGCACTCCAGCCTGGGTGACAGGGCAAGACTCCATCTCAAAAAAAAAAAAAAGAAGAAGAAGAAGAAACAGGAAATCAAATCCTTAAGTCAACCAGTTAAATTTTACTGTATGCAGCTGGGCACGGTGGCTCACACCCATAATCCCAGCATTTTGGGAGGCCAAGGTGGGTGGATCACCTGAGGTCAGGAGTTCGAGACCAGCCTGGCCAACATGGTGCAACCCAGTACAAAAAATTAGCCGGGCATGGTGGCAGGCGCCTGTAATCCCAGCTACTTGGGAGGCTGAGGCAGGAGAATCACTTGAACCCAAGAGGCAGAGGTTGCAGTGAGCCAAGATCATGCCTTTGCACTCCAGCCTGGGCAACAAGAGCAAAACTCTATCTCAAAAAAATTTTTTTTACTGTATGCAAGACCTTTAATATATATTGCTTCAACTGGCCAGTAGACATAACTTAAAAGTAACTCCATCATACACCCAGTGAATCTTTCTCTTGAAAATGAACAGAGAACAATTCTTTAGAATGCTTTTCAGGGAGAAAATGAGAAGTTTTGAGAAGCAGTTTTGTCTGGGTCAAGGGGTACTTTCAAATTACATTTATAAGTCAGTGTCTATAAAAAGTTTCAGAAGGACCTACAATTTAGCCCTCCACGTCCAAGAAGTAGCTTTGTAGTATGCTCTTACTTAGGTTTGCACAAGTACAAATAAATTTCACAAAGCTTGATAATCTAATAAAATTCCCTCTTCCTAAAGCCAAACAGATAATTTTGGTGACAACAATCTAGCAAAAAAGGAAAAATTTCCTTTTTTCTTTTTTTTGAGACAGGTTATCATGCTGTCACCCAGGCCAGTGTGCAGTGGCACAATCTCGGCTCACTGCAGCCTTGACCTCCTGGGCTCAAGTGATCCTGCAACCTCAGTCTCCCAAGCAGATGGGACCACAGGCACAAGCCACCATGCCTGGTTAATTTTTATATATTTTTTGGTAGAGACGGAGTCTCGTCATGTTGCCCAAGGCTGGTCTCAAATTCCTGAGTTCAAGCAATCTTCCCGCCTCACCTCGGTCTCTCAAAGTGCTGGGATTACAGGTGTGAGCCACCATGCCCAGCCTGAAAAAGAGAGAAATTTCTAGGTGCATACTGCCTGCTGGGCTCTATAGCCCATTACAACATCTGGTCACTAAGAACCTCCTATTAATTCCTTACTTGCATTCTCTGGATCAAGATAAAAAATATGAGCAAGCAAAAACTTATCATCAAGCAAAAAGGTATCTATCTATAAAAATAGCTAGATATTTCCCAAACACCCCTCCTAGTGTATCTGCTGCCAATAAAAAGTTTGGGGCTAATGAAAACTCTTGGCATTAAATAAAAGTAGGAATCTGTTTCATTGGCTTTTCTCTGTAGCTCAAACTATGGTCATGGAAAATTATGCTCTGGATACAATTGTGAATATACAGAGATCTTTAAACTGTGTCATTGATACTATTCCTACATCACATAAAGGTTATGTTACAACTTATACTGCACTGGAGAAGTAGCTAAAGGGACTATTTGCCAGGAAGCTTCTAGTAAATAATTTTTACAAATTTGTAAAACCAGACTTGTCTACACTTAAACTGGAGAATTCTACAGCATAAGTGGCATTGCTATTATTAGTAAGCTTGGCAAATCTGTGTGAGCTCTTTATTAATTGGGATATATTTCATATCCATTCTCACTCATATTTTTAGAAAAATCACTCTTTAGTTTAGTTTTTTTCTTTAAGAGACAGGATCTCGTTCCACTCATGCCCAGAGTGGAGTGCAGTGGCATGATCGTAGCTTACCATAACCTCAAATTCCTGGGCTCAAGCGATCCTTCTGCCTCAGCCTTCCAAAGCGTTGGGATTATAGGCATGAGGCCACTGCACCCAGCCTCGTTAGTCATTTATCTACCAAATACATGGAAAACTCATAGAATCAGAGGGTCTTATCACCAAATGTATGTTTGCTTTCCAAAAGGTCAGGTCCTGCATTTTCAAAATGTTCCTTGTGCTCTGTTATGCTTTATATTTCATAGCACAGCAACGCCCCCTTCACAACGACTGGTGATCATATTACCAATTTCTGTCCATGTATCTGAATGAGGGTTATAAACTTCAACTGAGTCCAAGGTACCTGGAGCCAAGAAATCATGGCTGGAAGATCGACCTCCAGAAACATACAGAAGACCATTGACTGCCACAACACACATGCCTGCTCTAGGCACTTTCATTGAGGCAACTTCAACCCACTTTTCCTGGTTAAGAGAGAAAAAAAATATGTTAGCAGTATTATGAAATGATAGTAAAGAAATCCACTGAGAAATTCGATATTCCAATTCTTTTTACATGTCTAAATGTAAAACAATCTAGTCAGGTAAGCATATATATATATATATTTTTGTTGTTGTTGTTGTTGTTGTTTTTTTTGTTTTGCTTTTTTTTCCTTGGAGACAGGGTCTCGCTCTGTCACCCAGGCTGGACTGCATGGCACCATCTCGGTTCACTGCAGCCTCAACCTCCCAGACTCAAGAGCTCCTCTTGCTTCAGCCTCCTGAGTAGGTAGGACTACAAGTGTATACCACCACACCTAGCTAATTTTTCTATTGTAGAGATGGAGTTTCACCAGGTTGTCCAGGCTGGTCTTAAACTCCTAAACTCAAGTGATTGTCCCACCTCAGCCTCCCAAAGTGCTGGGATTATAAGTGTAAGCCACAGGACCCGGCCCAGAATATTTTAAAATAAACTTGAAGTGGGCATGGATAAAAAGTAAATTTAGAGGAATTTAAATTTTTAAAAGGTCTGATTATAAAATATGATCAGGAAATGACCTAGAAATCATACATAGGACAACATGCTAAGAAACGAAGTCTATGGAACACAAGTAGGTAATACACTCAACAATAAGCAAATCAAAACAAAAGAACCACAAAGCTCCAAGGAGAAAGCAGCTTATAAACCAAAGGATTTTTTAAAAGCCTTTAGTATTTTAACGAGTCTTAAAAATGACACAGCGGGCCGGGCGCGGTGGCTCAAGCCTGTAATCCCAGCACTTTGGGAGGCCAATACGGGCGGATCACAAGGTCAGGAGATCGAGACCATCCTGGCTAACACAGTGAAACCCCGTCTCTACTAAAAAATACAAAAAATTAGCCAGGTGCGGTGGTGGGCGCCTGTAGTCCCAGCTTCTTGGGAGGCTGAGGCAGGAGAATGGCGTAAACCCAGGAGGCGGAGCTGGCAGTGAGCTGAGATCTGGCCACTGCACTCCAGTCTGGGTGACAGAGCGAGACTCCGTCTCAAAAAAAAAAAAAAAAAATTACACAGCATGGAACACTTGACAAATTTATTTGACCATGGAATCCTTTTTACAAGGAGCAACCAGTGGACTTAGTAATCTGCAGAACATATTTTCAGAAAGGTGGGCTAACCAGGGGTTGGGAACTATAGCCTACTTTGCTATAGCCTGAGAACAAACAATGATTTTCCCATATTAAAAGATATTTCAAGAAAAAGAAGCAGCATATATCAAAAAAGGATATTGTGTGTGACCCACAGGCCAAAAATATTTACTATCTGGCCTTTTACACAAAAAGTTTGCTAACTCCTGTTATACATTGTTCCCTAAAGAAATTTCAATATGCTGCTATAGCCAAAATGACTAGTAATGTCTTACTTTTTTTTTTTTTCTTGAGACGGAGTCTCGCTCTTGTTGCTCAGGCTGGAGTGCAATGGTGTGATCTTGGCTCACTGCAACCTCCGCCTCCGGGGTTCAAGCGATTCTCCTGCCTCAGCCTCCTGAGTAGCTGGGATTACAGGCACCTGTCACCATGCCTGGCTAATTTTTAGTATTTTTAGTAGAGATGGAGTTTCACTATGTTGGCCAGGCTGGTCTTGAACTCCTGACCTCAAGTGATTCACCCACCTCGGCCTCCCAAAGTGCTGGGATTACAGGCATGAGCCACCACGCCCAGCGACTAGTAGTGTCTTGCTTGAGGGAAAATGTCCATACTCAGAAAACAAGAAAGCTACTAAAGGTCCTAACAAGTAATTAGGAGAGCAAAGAGCAAGCAGCCTGGTAATGGGAGAACAGATTATCAATCTTTAAATAAAGCATATGATGAACAAAGGTTTTTTTTTGTTTTTTTTTTTGTTTTTTTTTTGAGACGGAGTCTCGCTTTGTCGCCCAGGCTGGAGTGCAGTGGCCGGATCTCAGCTCACTGCAAGCTCCGCCTCCCGGGTTTACGCCATTCTCCTGCCTCAGCCTCCCAAGTAGCTGGGACGATAGGCGCCCACCACCTCGCCCGGCTAGTTTTTTGTATTTTTAGTAGAGACGGGGTTTCACCATATTAGCCAGGATGGTCTCGATCTCCTGACCTCGTGATCCGCCCGTCTCGGCCTCCCAAAGTGCTGGGATTACAGGCTTGAGCCACCGCGCCCGGCCACAAAGGTTTTTTAATCATAAATAGTGAAGACTGATTATTCATCAACGCTAGAAAGTAAATTTTTAAGGACAGTACCCAAATAGGTACTAGGATAGTGCCATCACATTATAAACAGTTAGTGTACGTTTGCTGATGTGAACTTAAGTAAGATTATGAAATACTAAACCAGGGACAATTCTTTGAAAGTGAAGGACCAGATTAAATTTGAAAGCTATTTGATCATCTGAAATTATAGAGCACATCACAAAGCTGACATAACTGAAAAAATACTTATATTTTAAAAGATAAATACATTCTCAAGAAGATCCATTTCTGGTTAAGATAAATTAGGATAATTTAGGTTATGTTTATAATTAGGGAGAACCTTTGCTTTCCCGCAAAATGCCCCTTGACAATAACAAAGGGACCTTAGGACTCATCCTATATTGTTCCTCTTTCATTTCTACCAGTGTATTACAACTACAGTTTAACTTTTAAATTTTTATTACTTTATTTTTAACTGACATGTTCTCATCTAATTTGATTTTTATCCCCTGTTACCTCTAAAAAAAAAAAAAAGCTCTGTAAGACTACTAACATGTTTTACATTATCTTTTCTGGATTTGTAATGCAAATTGTTAGTAGGTAGTCAATAATAATAAAATTTCATATTTATGCATAAAAACCAAGGTAACACATTGTTGTTGTTGTTGTTATTATTACTCGAGACGGAGTCTTACTCTGTCGCCGAGGCTGAAGTGCAGTGGCATGATCTTGGCTCACTGCAACCTCTGCCTCTTGGGTTGGAGCAATTCTCCTGCTTCAGCCTCCCAAGTTACTAGGATTACAGGTGTGCACCACCACTCCCAGCTAATTTTTGTATTTTTAGTAGAGACAGGGTTTCACCATGTTGGACAGGCTGGTCTTGAACTCCTGATTTCAGGTGATCCACTCACCTCAGCCTCCCAAAGTGCTGTGATTACAGGCGTAAGCCACTGCACCTGGCCGGTAATAATTATTAATAAGACTTAATTTGAAACTAAAATCTATTCATTTCAAAGCCATATAGAAAAATTCGCAACAGAAAGTGCCCTCAAAAAGTTCACTTTCTGTATCAGATAAACCCAAATAGGATCATGGAGAAAGGAATTTAAAAATGTCACCAAAGTTTAAAACTTGTCAGAAATGAGAATCAAAATCCTTATGCTTTACAACAAGACATGAAAGTCCATTTTTGCCACTTCAACATTGTACTGGTGGTTCTAGCTAGGGTAATGAGGGGAAAACAATGAAATAAAATGCATCTAGTTTTAATCCAGATTTAAGAAGAAGTAAAACAATCTTTTTTTTGTTTTGTTTTAAAGACCAGGTCTTACTCTGTGGCCCAGGCTGGAGTGCAGTGGTGCAATCATTACTTACTACATCCTTGACCTTCCTGGGCTCAGGTGATCCTCCCACCTCAGCCTTCTGAGGAGCTGGGACTACAGGCGTGCACAACCACACCTGGCTAATTTTCATATTTTTTAAAGAGACACGGTTTTCACCATGTTGCCCAGGCTGGTCTGAACTCCTGGGCTCAAGTGATCTACCCACCTCGGCCTCCCAAGGTGCTGGGATTACAGGTTTAAGTCACTGCACCCAGCCAACAATATTTACAGATGGTAGGATCTTGTATTTAGAAAATCCTAAGGAATCCACCAAAAAAAAAATAAGACTATGAGTGCAGCAAGGTCGCAGAATAAATTGTATTTCTACACACTAGCAATGGACAATCTGAATATGAAATTAATAAAACAATTTATAACAGCATTAAAAGGAATAAAATACTTCTGAATAAATTTTAACCAAAAAAGTACACGAAACTGAAAATTATAAAACATTGTTGAAACAATCTGAAGACCTAACTAAAAGGAAAGACATCCTATGGTGAATCAAAAGACTTATTAATAATGTTAAGTTGCTGATACTCTCCAAATTGATCTCAAATTCAATGCAATCGCTGTCAAAAACCCATTTGGCTTCTCTGCAGGAACTGACAAGCTGATCCTAAAATGCATATGAAATTCAAGTTACCCAGGACAGCCAAACAAATTTTTAAATGATCCAATTTGAAGGACTCACACTTTCTGATTTCAAAACTTACTACAATGCTGTAATAAGACAGTGTGGTACTGGCAAAAGGATAGAGAGACATACAGATAAATGAACAGAATAGAAAGCTCAGAAATAAACGTTCACATATATGGTCAACTGATTTTCAATAAAGGTGAAAATTCAATTCAAGACAATTCAATGGGGGAAAGAACAGTGTTTTTAATCAGTGATGCAGTGATGCTGGGACAACTGGATACCCAAATACAAAAGAATGAGGGTGCATCTCTTCCTCACATCACATACAAAATTAAACCAAAATGTATCAAAGACCTAAATACAAAAATTAAAACTATAAAACTCTCAGAAAAAAGCATAGCTGTAAGTTCTTATGACCTTGGATTAAGCAATGCTTTTAGTTATAACAAAAGCACAAGTAACAAAAGAACAAAACAAATTGGACATCAAAATTTAAATTTTTATGCTTGAATACCATCAAGAAAGTGAAGAAAACACACATAATGGGAGAAAAAATTTGCGAATTATATATTTGACAAAGGACTTGCACCTAGATTATATTATTATTATTATTATTTGAAACGGAGTCTCGCTTTGTCACCCAGGTTGGAGTGCAGTGGCATGATCTCGGCTCACTGCAAGCTCCGCCTCCCAGGTTCAAGTCATTCTCCTGCCTCAGCCTCCTGAGTAGCTGAGACTACAGGCACCCGCCACCACGCCCCGTTATTTTTTTTTTTGTCTTTTTAGTAGAGACGGGGCCTTCCTTTTTTTTGAGATGGAGTCTTGCTCTGTCACCCAGGCTGGAGGGCTCACTGTAAGCTCCGCCTCCCGGGTTCATGCTATTCTCCTGCCTCAGCCTCCCGAGTAGCTGGGACTACAGGCACCCGCCACCACGACAGGCTAATTTTTTTTGTATTTTTAGTAGAGACGGGGTTTCACCGTGTTAGCTGGGATGGTCACGATCTGACCTAGTGATCCACCTGCCTCAGCCTCCCAAAGTGTTGGGATTACAGGCATGAGCCACCACGCCCAGCAGAACTCTTACAACTCAATAATGAAAAGACAATTCAATTTTAAAACAGATAAATTGAATAGATGTTTCTTCAAAGAAGATAAACAGGTGACCAAAAACCACATGAAAAGATGCTTAACAATCAGGGAAATGCAAATCAAAACCACAATGAGATACCCATTTATACCTACTAGAACAGCTATAAAAGAAAAACTAAATAATAACAAGCATTGGATGTGAAGAAACTGGAACCCTTAGACACTGATGGTGGTTATGTAAAATGTTGTAGATACTTTAGGAAACAGTCTGGGATTCCCTAAAAAGGTTAAACACAGATGGGTGCAGTGGCTCACGCCTGTAATCCTGGCACTTTGGGAGACCCAAAGATCACCTGAGGTCAGGAGTTCAAGATCAGCTTGGTCAACATGGTGAAACCCTGTTTCTACTAAAAATAAAAAATTAGCCAGGTGTGGTGATGCACACCTGTAATCCTAGCTACTAGAGAGGCTGAGGCAGGATGATCATTTGAACCCCTGAGGTGGAGGTTGTGGTGAGCCGAGATCACCACTGCAGTCCAGCCTAGGCAACAAGAGCGAAACTCCGTCTCCAAAAAAAAAACACACACAAAAAAACAAAAAACAAACAAACGAAAAAAGATTAAATACAGTCATTATGTGACCCAGCAATTCTACTCCTAGGTATATGCCCAAGAGAAATGAAAACACATGTCTACACAAAAACTTGTATGTAAAACTTCATAGTACCATTGTTTGTAATAGCCAAAAAGCAGAAACAACCAAAATGTTTGGTCAGTGAATTATATTTCAATAAAACTGTTAAAACTCTCCTACTTAAAAAAAAAAAAAAAAACTTAAAAAAATTTTTTGTTTTGAGATGGAGTCTTGCTCTATTGCCCAGGCTAGAGTACAGTTGGGTAATCTCAACTCATTGCAACCTCTGCCTCCCAGGTTCAAGCAATTCTTCTGACTCAGCCTCCCAAGTAGCTGGGATTATAGGCCACCATCATGCCCAGCAAATTTTTGTATTTTCAGTAAAGTCGGGCTTTCATTATGTTGGCCAGGCCGGTCTCGAACTCCTGACCTCAAGTGATCCACCAGCTTCAGCCTCCCAAACTGCTGGCATTACAGATGTGAGCCACTGCACCTGGTCAAAAGTTTTGAAGGTTTTACTAACTATAAGTGGCATTAAAAATCATAAAATTAAAATAAGACTAAACCTTATTTCTCAAAATTTGTTCCCTGAAACACTTCCACAAGATATTCTGCAAATATCCACAGAACAAAGCAAGGGTGGTGTGTTCAAGTGAATCTGAGAGACTTGACATAAAGATTCATAAAGTACATTATTGCACTATATTCTGTAAAGAAGTCCGGTGGTAAAGAAACTAATTTAACCTGGTTTAACCCAGATTTCCCTTAATATAGTTGACCAGGGAAACTCAAGTTACTCAATTCCTATTAACAGCGCAAAAAATTAGTATTCCATGGAAAGTAATTTAGAAAAAGTTGGCCTAACCTGTAAGTCTAGGGCATAACACACTTTGTACTTCACTCTCACAGCACTTAACATATTATAACATAACCGACTATTTATTTCTCATACTCCCCACTGCAATGTAGCCTCCTTGAGAGCAGTGGCTGTATATGTTGAGTTTGTCCTTGTTTCTGCCTGGCATAGTGTCTGATCCATATTTACATACTGAGAAGTCTGTATTTGTGAATGAATAAATGAACTAATGAACAAATACATGACAGAACAGTGACCCAATGAAGATGCAACGTCCTGTCCCCTACCTTTCTCTTCTCTTATTATAAGTATAATTGTGTCAACCTAGGAACTGAGGGAATGAGGGAACACTGGGGAATTCACCCAGGCAATGACTGGATGGGTAATGCATGGAGATGTTAGGTGGAGAAGACAGCTGGTATCATAAGAAAATTGGCTTCATTTAGCAAATAAGTAAATTGAATGAATAAATAAATATATTGAGGATAATGGAAGCAAAGTCTTTTTTTTTTTTTTTTTGAGACAGAGTCTTGCTCTGTTGCCCAGGCTGGAGTGCAGTGGCGTGATCTCGGCTCACTGCAGCCTCAGCCTCCTGGGTTCAAGCGATTCTCCTGCCTCAGCCTCCGGAGTAGCTGGGATTATAGGCGCCTGCCACCATGCTCAGCTAATTTTTGTAATTTTAGTAAAGACTGGGTTTCACCATGTTAGCCAAGCTGGTCCCGAACTCCTGACCTAGTGATCCACCCGCCTTGGCGTCCCCAAGTGCTGGGATTACAGACGTGAGCCACCGCACCTGGCGGAAGCAAAGTCTTTAACTGACAGAAAAGGTATTTACAACATGGAAAGGGAGAAGGCCTGAAAAAACCTGGTGTACTAGAATTGGAGCTATCATTATGAACTCATGGTTTTACAATATAAATGCACAAATAGATATAGAAATATTTACAGATAAATCTGTGTGTGAAACCCTATTTACATACATACATTTCCTAGCTTTGTTTACTGAGGGTGGCTATGAGGTAGAAGGTGGTGACTCAACTCCAGACAAGATTGAAGACTAGCTGAAACAGGGAAGAGGTGAAAGCAACTCTCTGTAAGACACACTCACCAGTGCCCTGTCAGTTTACCATTGCCAATGGCAACACCCAGAAGTGACTGTCCTCTTCCGTGGCAACAACCCAGAAACACCACCTTTTTTCTAGAAAATTCTGAATAACTCACCCCTTAATTTTCACATAAGTTAAAGTAGGTATAAATGACTGCAGAACTGCCCCTGAGCTGCTACTCTCAACACACTGTCTATGGAGTAGTCCCACTCTGCAGTAGTTACAGAGTTGTAACATTGCCACCTCAATAAGATTGTTTTCTTCTACCATCAGCTTGCTCTTAAATTCCATCCTGAGCAAGGCCAAGAACATTCCTGGGCTAAGCCCAATTTGGGGCTCTCCTGCCCTGCTACAGCTAGAAGCAGCAACATTCCTGGGCTAAGCCCAATTTGGAGCTCTCCTGCCCTGCTACAGCTAGAAGCAGCAACATCCAAGTAGCATTTAGTACTCTAAGTGTGTACATCTTGGTTTCTAAATACTGTCCTTCACCAAAAGGAAATAAGGCTTCTTGAAGAAATGGCTGATTCCAGGGCTAAAGCAGAAAAAGTATAAGATAAGCTGAAAATATTTCTGCCAGAAAATAAAGAAATGCTGAATGAATGATAGCAATGTATCAAAAGGACACAGGAGGGATTTCCATTTCCAGACAAAAATAGATCAATTATTACCAAACTTGCCCTCCTACCCTAAAGACCTAGAAAACTAGATAAAACATGAAACAAAACTTTTAGGCATTAGGCCAGAAGTGGTGGTGGCTCACGCCTATAATCCCAGCACTTTGGGAGGTTGAGGTGGGCAGATCACTTGAGGTCAGGAGTTTGAGACCAGCTGGCCAACGTGGCAAAACTCCTGACCTCATATGATCCACCCGCCTCTGTCTCCCAAAGTGCTAGATTACAGGCGTTAGCCACTGTGCTTGGCCAAAGTATATTTTTGTAAGTTCCTTACTTTCAAGTGATACAGTATGATATTGTAGATTTGATACACTAAAAATACATAATGTAAACCTGTGATATTATTAAGTACATAGCCTTCAACCTGTTTCCTGGCATACAACTCCTAACATCCTGAGAATATCCACAGTGATGCCTTTTTGTTTGCTAATGTTGACTGATGGCTGGAAGCCCATAGTTAGCTTCAGAATTAGGGATGCTCACCAGAAAGACCAAGGCATGATTATAGAATTAGAACTTTCAGTCCCACCCCGACTTCCGGAGAGGGGAGAGGAGCTGAAGGTTAAGTGGATGCCCAATGATATAATCAATCATGTCTATATAATGAAGCCTCCAGAAAAACCAGCCCAGACATGGGGGCTCACACCTGTAATCCCAGCACTTTGGGAGGCCGAGGGAGATCAAGACCATCCTGGCCAACATGGTGAAACCCCGTCTATACTAAAAATACAAAAATTAGCTGGACATGGTGGCGTGTGCCTGTAGTCCCAGCTACTTGGGAGGCTGAAGCAGGAGAATTGATTGAACCCAGGAGGCGGAGGCTGCAGTCAGCCTAGATCGTGCCATTTCACTCCAGCCTAGTGACAGAGCAAGACTCCGTCTAAAAAACAAAAACAAAGAAACAACAACAACAACAACAAACCCAAAAGGACTGAGTTTGGAGAACTTCCTGATAGTTGAACACCTGGCGGTTCTTAGAGGGTGGCATAACCAGAGAGGTCACAGAAGTACCATGCCATTCCCCCATACCTCCCCATATGCATCTCTTCATCTGTATCCTTTGCAATATCTCTTATAATAACCTGGTAAACATAAGTAAGTGTTTCCGTGAGTTCTGTGAGCCACTCTAGCAAATTAATTGACTCCAAAGAGGGTGTTGTGAGAACCCCAACTTGGAGCCAGTTGGTGAGAAGTTCCAGAGGCCTGGACTTGGAATAGTGCCTGAAGGAGGGGGCAGTCTTGGGGACTGAGCCCTCAACCTGTGGGGTCTGAGGCTATCTCCAGGTAGACAGTATCAGAATTTAACTGAATTCGAGGACACCTAGCTGGTATCTGCTGCTTGATGTGTAGGGGAAAACCCACACACATTTAGTCACAGAAGTTTTCTGTGTTGATGATTGTTGTGACGTGAGATCAGAGTAGAAAACATGTTGAGTATGTTTTTTCCACCCACAAAACCCTAAAGTAATCACCAAGAAAAAAGGTGAAGAAATACAGCTAACTAGACAATAAAAGAGATAAAATTCTATGGGATACTACAACAATCAATATAAAGACAAAAAGAAGAAAAAAGAATCAAAGAATGGATTTCATAAACAGAAAACAAATGACAAGGCCATTTTTATATTTTAATATAAATGCTAACTAATTAAAAGGCAACATATCAAAATATGTGGGATGAAGTTAAAGCAGTGCTCAAAGAGAATTTATAGTTTGTATTATAGAAAAAGGAAGGTCTAAAATCAATCATCTAAGCTTCCACTTTAAGACTCTAGAAAAAGGCCAGGCACGGTGGCTCAAGCCTGTAATCCCAGCTCTTTGGGAGGCCGAGACGGGCAGATCACGAGGTCAGGAGATCGAGACCATCCTGGCTAACACGGTGAAACCCTGTCTCTACTAAAAAGAATACAAAAAACTAGCCGGGCGAGGTGGCGGGCGCCTGTAGTCCTAGCTACTCGGGAGGCTGAGGCAGGAGAATGGCGTGAACCTGGGAGGCGGAGCTTGCAGTGAGCCCAGATCATGCCACTGCACTCCAGCCTGGGCAACAGATTGAGACTCCGTCTCAAAAAAAAAAAAAAAAAATCTAGAAAAAAAGAGAGCTGAGATTGTTGGGATTTGGGGAGTGCAGTGGCTCCCAAAGATCTGTAATGCCAGTGGTTTGGGATGCCAAGGAAGGATAATCACTTAAGACCAGGAGTCTGAGATCAGTCTGGGTTACATAGCGAGACCCTAACCCTAGGAAAAAAAAAAAAATCAGCCAGGTGCAGTGGCTCATGCCTGTAATCCCAGCACTTTGGGAGGCTGAGGCAGGCGGATCACCTGATGTTGGGAGTTCGAAACCAGCCTGACCAACATAGAGAAACCCCATCTCCACTAAAAATACAAAATTAGACAGGTATGATGGTGCATGCCCAAAATCCCAGCTACTCAGGAGGTTGAGGCAGGAGAATTGCTTGAACCCAGGAGGCAAAGGTTGCAGCGAGGCGAGATTGTGCCACTGCACTCCAGCCTGGGCAACAAAAGCAAAACTCCGTCTCAAAAAAAAAAAAAATTACTCTTGAGCGAGGGTCTCTCACTGTTACCGAGGTTGGAGCACAATGGCTTGATCACAGCTCACTGCAGCCTTGACTTCCTAGGCTCAAGTGATCCTCTCACCTGAGCCCCCTGAGTAGCTAGAACCACAGGTGCATACCACCATGCCCAACTAATTTTGTTATTTATTATACAGACAGTCTCACTATGTTGTTCAGGCTGGTCTTGAACTCCTGGGCTCAAGCTATCCTCTCATCTTGGCTTCCCAAAGTGCTGGGATTACAGGCGTGAGCCACCACGCCCAGCAGTACAAGAAAAAGTTTTTTTAAATTAACTGGGCAGGAGTTCAATGTTACAGTGAGCTATGATTATATCAGTGCTCTCCAGCATGTGCAACAGAGCAAGACCCTGTCTCTTAAAAAATTAAAAAATAAATAAATAACCTAGAAAAAGAAGAGCAAACTCAATCAAAAACAAATAGGAAAAAGGAAAAAATAAGAACAGAAATCAATAAAACAAAACTGACAACAGAAGAAAAGCAATGACACCAAAAGTTTCTTCTTTGGAAAGAAAAAAGGGAAAAAAAAATCCACAAATGATCAATATCATGAGTGAAAGAAAGTGCATCACCACAGATCTTACAGACATTAAAAGAATACCAGGATACTAAACATCTGAAATCATCCAACCTACCTCTTCAAAGGAATATTTTTCTACAGTATGAAGAGCATCTTGGGTCTCATTCCATCCTCCAATAGAATAGATGCAGTCATTGAGTGCAGCCACACCAAGATATGCTCTCCTGGTTCCCATTGGAGGAAGTGGAGACCAACGCTTAGAAAGTGGATCATAGACTTCAAAAGAACGAAGCTCTATTCCTTCATTGCTGATGCCCCCAATTACATAAATTAAACCTGGAAGTGGAATATTTTTGCTCAGATGCTACAGAAAGTGAGATACAAATAGTGATGAAAAGTAATGATTGTGATCTGTTTCCTATGCTGATGCTATGTTTAATCTAGGGCTTACAATTTTATTTAAGAGAGAAAATCAACTTTGTCAAGTTTATCACCTCACTATTCAGCAAGTTGTAAAAAATTAGTGGAACTAATTTAAAATAGCATTGAGTTTTCAAAGAACTTGAAATAATCTGTCAGCTGAGGATTTTCTATCTAATTATCTGCTTGGTGATCTCAGGTTCCAGATCCACCCACAGATAAAACAGGAAAGGAAAATGGATTCTTTTTTTCCCTAAAAAAAGTTATGCACTTAAGCTGGGAATTACACGGCCCTCTTTAGTGACAGCCTATCTGTTGCTCAGATGGACATAAAGTAGGGAATTTAAATTTAAATAGTATGTGGCTAAATTAAGGTATCAGAATCAATTACTACAGTACACAGCTGGGTGTAGTGGTTCACAATCCCAGCACTTTGGGAGGCCAGGGAAGGCGAATCACTTGAGCTTGAGACCAACCTGGGCAAAAAATACAAAAAATACAAAATTAGTCAGGCATGATGGTGTGTGCCTGCAGTCCCAGCTACTCAGGCAACTGAGGTGGGAGGATGGCTTGAGTCTGGGAGGCAGAGGTTGCAATGAGCCAAGATTGCACCACTGCACTCCACCCTGGGCAACAGAGTCAGAACTTGTCTCAAAAAACAAAAACAAAAACAATTACTACAGTAAAATATAATGTAATTTACATAAAATTTCCTTATAAACTCTGGCAATCTACAATTATTTTTGAATCTGTAGTGTTGTACTTCATCTTCTAAAGTGAGGAGTTACAAAGAATTATATTTTACGACATGTGGGCTAGGCTGGGTGCAGTGGATCATGCCTGTAATCCCAGCACTTTAGGAGAACAAGGCGGGCGGATCACGAGGTCAGGAGATTGTGACCATCCTGGTTAACATGGTGAAACCCCGTCTCTACTAAAAACACAAAAAATTTGCCAGGTGTGGCGGGTGCCTGTAGTCCCAGCTACTCCGGAGACTGAGGCAGGAGAATGGTGTGAACCCGGGAGGCGGAGCCTGCACTGAGCCAAGATCGCACCACTGCACTCCAGCCTGGGTGACAGAGCGAGACTCCATCTCAAAAAACAAAAAACAAAAAAACAAAAAAAAAAGAAAAAAGAAATGTGGGCTAAATGTTAGTATAGTAAACCTGGGTTTTAGTTCCAGCCTTGCCAGTAACCAGCTATGAGAAAAGACAACTCACAACCTTCCTGATCTTCAGCTTCCTCATCTATAACTTAAAGAAGTTGAAATAGGTAAGTTCAAAGATTCCTTTCTAGGTAGCTCTATGATTTTAGATGGAATGATAAAAATAATAAATATAAAACAACGAGGAGACATGATATTAAACAGTAAGATATAGTCTGCACCACATAATTTGCTAATAGAAATCAGAGAAGGTTGGCCGGGCGCGGTGGCTCAAGCCTGTAATCCCAGCACTTTGGGAGGCCGAGGCGGGTGGATCACAAGGTCAGGAGATCGAGACTATCCTGGCTAACTTGGTGAAACCCCGTCTCTACTAAAAATACAAAAAACTAGCCGGGCGTGGTGGCGGGCGCCTGTAGTCCCAGCTACTTGGGAGGCTGAGGCGGGAGAATGGCGTGAACCCGGGAGGCGGAGCTTGCAGTGAGCCGAGATCAGGCCACTGCACTCCAGCCTGGGAGACGCAGCGAGACTCCCCGTCTCAAAAAAAAAAAAAAAAAAAAGGAAATCAGAGAAGGTAACCACAAAGCAGAAGGAAGTTGACCAGATTAGGCTGTCATATAACAATGGGAAAGCTGCTTCCTTCTCCACAGGTGCATATAAATCAGCTCTCCAATCCTAGACAGAATCAGGTTCTAGTTAAAACATCTTACTATCTAACTCTCAGAGTATAGTAGACAATCAAAATAATGTTTGTATACCACTTTAATATGCAACATATAATTATTTAAATCTGTCACAGGATTATATGCTATGTGAACTGAATCACAATGTACTTTGTAGAAAAAAATGCTAAAGCCTATAGAGACCATGAAAACAATTTATTTTTATTTATTTTTTGAGACAGAGTTTCACTGTTACCCAGGCTGCAGTACAGTGGCACCATCTCACTCACTGCAACCTCCACCTCCTGGGTTCAAACAATTATCCTGCCTCAGCCTCCCTAGTAGCTGGGATTACAGGAGTGTGGTACCGTGCCCAGCTAATTTTTGTATTTTTAGTAGAAATGAGGTTTCACCACATTGGCCAGGCTGGTCTCGAACTCCTAACCTCAGATGATCCTACTGCCTCAGCCTCCCAAAGTGCTGGGATTATAGGCATGAGCCACCACGCCCCAAAATTGTTTCTGATACTCTCTCCCTACTTAGAAATATTTACTTAGATGTTCATGGGAGAGAAAAGACAATAACAGATAACACTTCGAATGCTTATTGTGCTAGTCAGATATTCCTGCTTACTTGCAATTTTTAATGATAGCCTTGTTTATTTTGAAAAAATCAATTATTTTGGCAATACAGAAATAAAAGTCAACGATAGGAGGTAAAAACCAGAACTTCTATGCTGCTAGTATCAGTCATTCAATACCAACAGATCTAAAATATACTTTTGTGAAAATAAGGCCTCAAACTCAAAGTTTTTCAGAACTACATTTTGAGGAAAAATATTTTATAAAGTGATTACCTTGCATTTCACAGCACCCAAAGTAGTAGCGTGACACAGCCATGTTACCAACTACTTCCCATTTATTTTCATCAGGATCAAATCTTTCAATGGTGTTCCCTATCTCAGCTCCAACCCATCCACCTGTAATGAAACAGAAAAATGTTCATTTCTGGGATAAAAGAATCTTATTTATGACAAAGACCTTACAAAACATCTAAACCAATTATTTCATATTATAGATATCACATGAACCAAAGAGGTTATCTGTTCCACGATCCCATGAAAAAGTTAGAATTTGACCACGAATAGAACTCAGGTCCTTGCATAACTGATGCTCTTTTGAGAAAAAAAAAAAAAAGAATTCAAGTCTTTTAACTCCCTATTTTTCACTAAAGACTAAAACAAAACAAAACAAAGAAAGCCCCAAAACTTCAATATATTGCATGGAAAAGACAGTATTTTGCAAAACTACCTTTTGAAATGACTTCTGGCTATTCAGAATGTTTATCCTAATCAAGGCCAGCTCCGAGCCTAATCAGAGCATACTGTGTATTTGGTTAATTTCAGGAACTTCAAAAAGGCCCTTTATCCCCACAATAACATTTTCTTAACACTCTCTAATTCTTTTTTTTTTTTTTTTGAGATGGAGTCTTGCTCAGTAGCCCAGGCTGGAGTGCAGTGGCCAGATCTCAGCTCACTGCAAGCTCCGCCTCCCAGGTTTTACCCCATTCTCCTGCCTCAGCCTCCCGAGTAGCGGGGAATACAGGCGCCCGCCACCTCGCCCAATTAATTTTTTGTATTTTTTAGTAGAGACGGGGTTTCACCATGTTAGCCAGGATGGTCTCGATCTCCTGACCTCGTGATCCACCCGTCTCGGCCTCCCAAAGTGCTGGGATTACAGGCTTGAGCTACGGTGCCCGGCCCTTTTTTTTTTTTTTTTTGAGATGGAGTCTCGCTCTGTCATCCAGGCTGGAGTGCAGTGGTGCAGTCTCAGCTCAGGCTCACTGCAAGCTCCGCCTCCCGGGTTCAAGCCATTCTCCTGCCTCAGCCTCCCGAGTAGCTAGGACTACAGGCGCCGGCCACCACGCCCAGCTAATTCTTTTTGTATTTTTAGTAGAGACAGGGTTTCACCGTGTTAGCCAGGATGGTCTTGATCTCCTGACTTTGTGATCCGCCCGCCTCAGCCTCCCAAAGTGCTGGGACTACAGGCTGTGAGCCACCACACCCGGCCAACACCCTCCAATTCTTAAAGTTGAAAATATTTTTTCCCACAATTAACTGAAAAATGCAGATACTTATGGAGGTAATAAAATATAATAGATTACATTCACCTTAAGGTAACTCATATTTTTTGCACAATAGGTTTGTATGAGGGGAAGACACTAAGTTACAGTGAATTGAAGGAGTGACAAGGAGAAAATAGGGGAGGCTGAGAGCTATGTCAACTTATAACTTTCCCTAGGAACAACCTTGATTGTAACATTTGTTACACAGATATTCAAAGTAGAATAGCTCATAATCATTCACTACATCTACAAGAATAAAAATATAGTACAGAACTTCCTTGTGATATATTTAATTTTTTGGCATCTGTTTTCTTATATTAAACATAATTAGGCCACTATGCAGAGTGCTAAAAATGTTATACACTTAATTAAAATAATGAGATTTAACTACTCAGCTAAAGTACTGCACTGGATGTCTCATCTATATTTTATCTCCAGTAATACAATTTTGAGAATAAGAATTTAAAGAGCTGGCAAGCACATCTACAGCATACAGTAGCTCCAGAGATACCTGCAGAAGAATGTGTATGACTAGCAGTTTGGTCAGCCAGCCAACTGGGCACCCTCCTCCAACCCCTCCAACCCCTGACCCCCTAACCCCTACCTACACCTTCCCCTAAGACCTTGCCCAGCCTCCAGAGTATATAGACTAAAGCCAGTTGGTTTTTAAAAAAAGAATGTAAAGAGCTGAAAAGAGGAAAAGAACATCTCTAAAGTCATCAGAACCCAACAATTTAAATAATATTAGCTATCTACAAACATTTCATATTCTCACTTCTTTGTGGGATCTAAAAATCAAAACAATTGAACTCATGGAGACAGAGAGTAGAAGGATGGTTACCAGAGGCTGGGACGGGTAGTGTAGTGGGGTGGGGAGGCAGGAGGTGGGCATAGTTAATGAATTTGAATAAAAACAAAAAGGAAGAATGAATAAGACCCAGTATTTGATAGCGCAATAGGGTGACTATAGTCAATAATAATTTAATTGTACATTTAAAAATAACTAGAAGAGTATAACTGGATTGTTTATAACACAAAGGATAAATACTTGAGGAGATGGATATCCCATTTTACGTGATGTTATTATTACACATTATGTGCCTGTATCTCATGTGCCCCATAAATATATATACCTATTATGTATCCACAAAAATGAAAATTAAAAATAAATACATAAATAATATTAGCTATCTTTAAACTGAACAGCATAATTACCCAAAGCATAGATAGCCCCATAACACACACACACTCCTAAGCCACAGCGAGGATGATTCATCGAAGCTACAGTTGTCCACTGTTTAGTAACTGGATCATAGCATTCAGTACAATCAAAAATCATTGAATCCTTTTCACCTGAGTTAAATAAAAGAGACATATATTAGAAAGTTTAGTAATGCTAAGAGACTAGCACCATAATACAATATTCAGTAGTATTCCCTATTGTCAAAAATTCAACCATTATGTCTGATTTTATACTATTCATTTGCCTGTCAAGCATTATTTTGAATCTAGAGCACTGTCATTTATTAAAGCCCACTTATGAAACAGGCACAATTTTCCTATTATCTATTTTTACCACCCAAACAATCCATGTAATGTTTTAGGATAAAATTTGCATTTTAATACTTCTATATTTTTTTTCATATAGTAGTTTGGGTGGCTGGCCCTGGTACAATTTGAGTTTTAATGTAATCCTTTCCTAACAACAAACAGAAAATGAATTTTTTTTTTTTTTTTTGAGACAGAGTCTCGCTCTGTCGCCCAGGCTGGAGTGCAATGGTGCAATCTCGGCTCACTGCAAGCTCCACCTCCTGGGTTCACACCATTCTCCTGCTCAGCCTCCCGAGTAGCTGGGACTACAGGCGCCCACCACCTCACCCGGTTAATTTTTTGTCTTTTTAGTAGAGACAGGGTTTCACCATGTTAGCCAGGATGGTTTCCATCTCTTGACCTTGTGATCCGCCCGCCTCGGCCTCCCAAAGTGCTGGGATTACAGGCGTGAGCCACTGCGCCCAGCCTAAAAATGAAAAAATTTTAAAAAGATACCCAAATTTTCTTTTTTTTAATATTTATTTATTTATTTATTTTTAGAGACAGAGTCTGGCTCTGTCACCCAGGCTAGAGTGCAGTGGCACAATCATCGCTCACTGAAGCTTTGAACTCCTGGACTCAAGTCATCCTCCTGCCTCAGCCTCCCAAGTAGCTAGGACTATAAGCATGTGCCACCATGTCCAGCTAATTTAGAATTTTAAAATAAGATATTTAGGAGTAAATCTAACCAAAGATTATGCAATGCCTCTATGGATAACATTTTAAAATATTACTTAAAGTTTTAAATTATGGAACATCTAAATAAATGAAGAGATGAATAATGTTCATGAATTATAAGAGTCAATGTATCATGAAGATTTTCCTATTTAAAAATAAGAGTCAATGTAAAGATGATAGTTATCCCCATATTGATTTATAGATTTAATGTATTCCCAATCAAAAAAATCCATTTTTTAACCGATTTGACAAACTGATTCTAAACTTTATATAGAAGTACAAAGAGCCTAGAAGAGCCAAGCATTCTCGGAAAAAAATAAGGAGAAACAGTCCCATCATATATCAAGACATATAACAAAGCTATAGTAATTAAAAAAGGGATAGACAGAAACTAATGGAACAGAAAAGAAATTCTAGAACACAGACATACATATGATTGCTTGATAGAAGATAGAGTTAGCACTACAGAGCAGTGGGGAAACAACAATCTTTCATGCTAGGATAATGGATTATACATCGAGAGGAAAATGAAACTAATGCCTTACTGCATATTATCCATAAAAACTAAATTCCAGGTAGATTACTGACATAAATGTGAATGGAAAAACTATAAAACTGTATAAAACAATGAAGGTATAGGTCCTTATGATGTTGGAGTAGGGAAAGATGTCTCAAATAAGATGCAAGAAACATTAACCATACAGGGAAAAAAATAAGAGATTTGACTACACTAAAATTAAAAATATCTGTTCATCAAAGGATTCCATAAAGAGAGTAAAAGATGAAGCAGCAGAGTAGGAGAAGATATTTATAGCACATATGACTTTATGAGGGCCTAGAATCCTGAATATAAACAAAATTCCTATTGTACAGAAAATAGTTAACATAGCAGGCCTAAAAATGCCTGTCCTTAGAAAGGCCTATTTGGGGGCCGGGCACGATGGCTCACACCTGTAATCCCAGCACTTTGGGAGGCTGAGGTGGGCGGATCACAAGGTGAAGAGATCGAGACCATCCTGGCTAACACTGTGAAACCCCATCTCTACCAAAAATACAAAAAATTAGCCGGGCGTGGTGGCGGGCGCCTGTAGTCCCAGCTACTCAGGAGGCTGGGGCAGGAGAATGGCATGAACCCGGGAGGTGGAGCTTGCAGTAAGCCGAGACAGCGCCACTGCACTCCAGCCTGGGCGACAGAGCGAGACTCCGTCTCAAAAAAAAGAAAAGAAAGGCCTACTTGGAAGGTTGATCCTTTGCTGGAATCTGGGAATATGGCTGGTTAACAGTTCCCTCCACTGATACAAAATTTTCCCAAAATGGTAAGAGTGGCTCACTGTGCTTGAACTGTACAAACAATGTGATTTATGCTGAACATACGCTTTCCTTCTGAGGGTCTGGGATTTTGGTATGTGCTAGGAAGAAAGAGGCTATGTGATCAGCTGCCTGCAAAAACCTTGGGCACTATGTCTCTAATGAGCTTCTCTGGTAGACAATACTTCCCACATGTTGTCACTACTAATTGCTGAGGAATTAAGCATGTCATGTGTGACTGTACTGAGTGAGGACTCTGGAAAGCTGTCAACTGGTTCCTTCCAAACTTCATCACATGTGCCTTTTCTTTTTGCTGATTTTGTTTTGTACATTTCGTTACAATAAATCTTAGCTGTGGATACAATTACATGCTAAATCTTGTAAGTCCTTTTAGCAAATCACTAAACCTGAGAGTGGTCTTGGGAACCCTGATGCACCTACAAATCAACAAAATAGACAATTTTTTAAAAGGACTAAAGATCTAAAAAGTTACTTCTTGAAAGAAGAAATCCAGCTGGGCGCAGTGGCTCACGCCTGTAATCCCAGCACTTTGGGAGGCCAAGGTGGGTGGATCATGAGGTCAGGAGTTCTAGACCAGCCTGACCAGCCTGACCAACATGGTGAAACCCCATCTCTACTAAAAATAGAAAAATTAGCCAGGCATGGTGGTGCGCTTCTGTAATCCCAGCTACTCAGGAGGCTGAGGCAGGAGAATCACTTGAACTTGAAAGGCGGAGGTTGCAGTGAGTGGAGATCGCGCCACTGCACTACAGCCGGGCGACAGAGCGAGACTCTGTCTCAAAACAAAAACAAAAACAAACAAACAACAACAACAAAATTGGCCGGGCATGGTGGTCTATGCCTATAATCTCAACTACTTGGGAGGCTAAGGCAGGAGAATCTCTTGAACCCGGGAGGCAAAGGTTGCTGTGTGCCACTGCCCTCTAGCCTGGGAGACAGAGTGAGACTCCATTTCAGAAAATAAAAATAAAAATAAAAGGGCTGGGTGTGGTGGCTCACCCTGTAATCTCAGCACTTTGGGAGGCCAAGGCAGGCAGATCACCTGAGTTCAGGAGTTCAAGACCAGCCTGGTCAACATGGTGAAACCCGATCTCTACTAAAAATACAAAAATTAGCTGGGCATGGTGGCGCATGCCTGTAATCCCAGCTACTCGGGAGGCTGAGGCATCACTTGAATCCAGGAGGCAGAGGTTGTTGAGTTGACAATGCACCACTGCACTCCAGCCTGGGCAACAGAGCGAGATTCCATCTCAAAAAATAAATAAATAGGCCGGGCACAGTGGCTCATGCCTGTAATCTCAGCATTTTGGGAGGCCGAGGCGGGCAGATCACAAGGTCAGGAGATTGAGACCATCCTGGCTAACACAGTGAAACCCCGTCTCTACTAAAAATACAAAAAAAATTAGCCAGGCGTGGTGGCGGGCACCTGTAGTCCCAGCTACTCAGGAGGCTGAGGCAGAAGAATGGTGTGAACCCAGGAGGCGGAGCTTGCAGTGAGCCGAGATCACGCCACTACACTCCAGCCTGGGCGACAAGCGAGACTCCGTCTCTAAATAAATAAATAAATAAATAAATAAATAAAATAAAAATAAAAGTAAGTATTTTACATAAGTAAAAAGCAAAAAAAGAAAAAGTTAATAACAATATATATCTCAAAAAGTTAAATACAGAAGGCCGGGCACGGTAGCTCACACCTGTAATCCCAGCACTTTGGGAGGCCGAGGCAGGCGGATCACAAGGCCAGGAGATTGAGACCATCCTGGCTAACACAGTGAAACCCCGTCTACTAAAAATACAAAAAAACATTAGCTGGGCGTGGTGGCGGGTGCCTGTAGTCCCAGCTACTTGGGAGGCTGAGGCAGAAGAATGGCGTGAACCCAGGAGGCAGAGGTTGCCGTGAGCTGAGATTGCGCCACTGCACACCAGCCTGGGCAACAGAGCGAGACTCCATCTCAAAAAAAAAAAAAAAGAAAGTTAAATACAGAGTTACCGTATAACCTAACAATTCTACTCCTAAGTATATACCCAAAAGAAATCAAACTTATGTCTACACAAAAACTTTTATTTGAATATTAAGTGGAAATAATATAAATGTCCATCAACTACAGAATGAATAAACAAACAAAATATGATTATTTCGACACGATGAAATATTATTCAGTCATAAAAAGAAATGAAGTACTGCTAACTGAAAGAAGTCAGACACAATATTATATGATTCCATTTACATGAAATGTCCAGAATAGGCAAGACCATAGAGACATAAAGTAGATGAGCAGTTACTAGGGTTTAGGAGGAGAGATGGGGAGTGACTGCTGACAGATACAGTGTTCCTTTCTGGGGTGATGAAATGTTCTGGAATGAGATAGTGGTGACGATTGTACAACTTTGTGACTATGCTAAAAACCACTAAATTATATTCTCTAAATTTTGGTATGTGAATTATATCTTAATTTTTAAAACCCAACATTTAGAATATGAACCCAGATACGTATGTATCAGGAAGAAACTAAACCAAAATGTTAACTGTGATTATTCTGGGTGGTATGATTATGGCATCAGGAATTTAAATTTTCTTTTTCATATGCTTCTGTTTTAGCAAAATTTTCTACAACAAACCTAACTTTTATAATTTTCAAAGTATTTAAAAGTTATATATTAAGGAATATCTTAAGATAGCAATGTTGACAGTATTAATAGCTAGAGAAGTCACAGCAGTTTTGAAGAGCCTCTGTAAGCACTTCTGTGGTATCAGGGGAGGGAATACATACATATGCAAGTGTCACACAATGACCTCTGACCCTAGGTTAAACAGAAGAGTTCAAGTGATAAACCTATGCATAATTGACAAAAGACACATACAAGGAATTATTAAAGTTGTGGTCAAAGACTATATAGAATTGAGCTCTTTATGCAGACAAGAAGTTATTGCTTAAAATTCTAATTTCTTTGATGGAATTTTCTGATACACATGTCATTTCTTGATTTAATAAATAGTTCTGAGTTATACACCCTCCAAAGTAAAGACAAAAATCAAATAGTTCCTATATCTCCATAATTTAAATTGACAGTACCATAGTCAGAAAATATTTATAAAATTTTTGGGCTGGGCGCGGTGGCTCAAGCCTGTAATCCCAGCACTTTGGGAGGCCGAGACGGGCGGATCACGAGGTCAGGAGATCGAGACCATCCTGGCTAACACAGTGAAACCCCGTCTCTACTAAAAAATAGAAAAAAATAGCCGGCGAGGTGGCGGGCGCCTGTAGTCCCAGCTACTCCAGAGGCTGAGGCAGGAGAATGGTGCAAACCCCGGAGGCGGAGCTTGCAGTGAGCTGAGATCCAGTGGCCACTGCACTCCAGCCTGGGCAACAGCGCGAGACTCCTTCTCAAAAAAAAAAAAAAAAAAAAAAAAAAAAAAAAAAAAAAATTTTGGGTGGGGATGGCTCGCCAAACCCTGGCCCACTAAAAAATAAATCAATAAAATAAAAATAAAATAATTATAATTTTTTTAAAATACTGGCTGGGTGCCATGGCTCACATCCATAATACTAGCACTTTGGGAGGCTGTGGCAGGAGAATCACTTGAGGTCCAGAGTTCAAGACCAGCCTGGGCAACATAGTGAGACCCCATCTCTAAAAAAAAAAAAAAAAAATTGGCCAGGCGTAGTGGCTCATGCCTGTAATCCCAACACTTTGAGAGGCCAAGGCGGATGGATCACCTGAGGTCGGGAGTTTGACACCAGCCTGACCAACATGAAGAAACCCTGTCTCTACTAAAAATACAAAATTAGCCAGGCATGGTGGTGCATGCCTGTAATCCCAGCTACAGAGGAGGCTGAGGCAGGAGAATTGCTTGAACCCAGGAGGCAGAGGTTGCAGTGAGCCGAGATCACGCCATTGCACTCCAGCCTGGGCAACAAGAGCAAAACTCCATCTCAAATAAATAAATAAATATTTAATGAGCCATACATGGTGATGTATGCCTATAGTCCCAGTTACTTTATTATTTAATAATTCATAAAAATAGTTTTACAAAACACCAGGATTTCAACAAGAAATATATCCTACTATCTTGTTGACTTGGTTTTTACGTACCCAGTATCCATACTGCTTGGTTTATTAAAAATGAATCATAATGCAGCTTTCAGAATTTAAAAAAATTCTATCATAAATATTGATCTGAATTTTGATGCCAACTTTTTTTTTTTTTGAGACGGAGTTTCGCTCTTGTTGCCCAGGCTGGAGTACAATGGCACGATCTCGGCTCACTGCAACCTCTGCCTCCTGAGTTCAAATGATTCTCCTGCCTCAGCCTCCTAAGTAGCTGGGATTACCAGCACCCGCCACCATGCCCAGCTAATTTTTTTGTATTTTTAGTAGAGACAGGGTTTCACCATGTTGGCCAGACTGGTCTTGAACTCCTGACCTTAGGTGATCTGCCTGTCTCGGCCTCCCAAAGTGCTGCGATTACAGGCGTGAGCCACTACGCCAGGCGGGTGCCATATTCTATAAACAACCTTTCTTTTCTTTTTTGAGAGAGGGTCTTGCTCTGTCACCCAGGCTGGAGTACAGTGGCACGATCGTGGCTCACTGCAACCACTGCCTCCTGGGCTCAAGTAATCTTCCCACATCATCCTGCCAAGTAGCTGGGACTATAGAAATGTGCCACACATCTGGCTTATTTTTAATTTTTTTTAAGAGATAAAGTCTCAATATATTGCCCAGGCTGATCTCAAACTCCTGGGCTCAAGTGATCCTCCTGGCTCGGCTTCCAAAACTGCTGGGATTACGGGTATGAGCTACCACACCTCACCACCACTTTTCATTAAAACCAAACCTAAGTATTCTGGCTTGTGATAAATCACAGTATTCATCCAATATGAAATATTCACCATCTTGCCCTTCCCATTCCCCTTTCCCTTCCCCCTTTCACCTTTCCCCTTCCTCCTTCCCCCTTCCCCCTTCCATCCCTCCCTCCCTCCCTCCCTTCCTTCCGTCCTTCCTTCTTTCCATCCTTTCTGTAAATACTTATTGAGGACAATTAGATATATGTATATCACACAGCAACATATAAATCATAAAGCATATTAGAATATAGCCAATAAGACTAATAAAGAAAATAAGACATTTTTATGATTACCTCCAATAGCGTAGACCATCCCTCCTAGAACTGTTACTCCCAGCCCACTTCGAGCCTGATGAAGTGAAGATACAGTGGTCCAGTACTGGCTAAAGGTGTCAAAACGTTCCACACAGCTGAGGGCTCTGCTATCACTCCAACGACCCCCCTGCAACCGAGTATATCCACCTAAACAAAAGAAGAAAAGTGAGTACACAGCAAATCCCTTACTATTAAATAGAAAAATGGTAGTAATGAAAATCTAGTGTTCTACAGCTAAACATTTAGTATAACTATTATATAACAAGAAATAAATGGTTTAGAGCTTACTTTCTCCCTCTATATATAATGTAATATTCTTAAATTTGCCAATTCCTGAAAGATTGTGGCTTAAATAGTAAGACGGTTAGCCTCAGTGTTTTACCACTTGGTCTTGGTTATAAATAGAATATTATATGAAATATAAATCTAGGCACTGCTTATCTGTTAAGTTAGGAAAGTTTCATTATAACTTTCATTAGTGTCTTTTTCAATTAAAAATAGTGAGTTGAAAGCTGTGTGTGTGTGTGTGTGTGTGTGTGTGTGTGTGTGTGTGTTTGAGGCAGGATTTCACTCTGTCACCTAGGCTGGAGTCCAGTGATGTGATCACAGCTTACTGCAGCCTCAATCCTCCCCCATCAACCTCCTGATGAAATCCTTATTTTGACTATACATCCAATAAGCAAAAAAATTTTAAGAAGCACCCAAAAGCATTATATTTAAATATTAATACATACATGTAATTGTAATTATATATGTGTAAATTATAAATTATCTCATACATCAGGTACTTACATAAAAACTATAATATGTATACACATCTGCACTATATATATCAATATGTTATATATTATATGTATTTTAAATGCCGATAAAGTTTAATGCTTTTTTTTATTTTTTTGAGCCAGTGTCTTGCTCGGTTGCCCAGGCTGGAGTGCAGGGTACAATCTCTGCTCACTGCAACCTTTGCCTCCTGAGTTCAAGTGATCCTCCCACTTCAGCTTCCCAAGTAGCTGGGACTACAGGCACACACCACCACACCAGGGTAATTTCTGTATATCTGTGTAAAGACAAGGTTTCATCATGTTGCATAGGCTGGTCTTGAACTTCTGGGCTCACACAATCCTCTGACCTCAGCCTTCCAAAGTGCTGGGATTACAGGCCATGAGCCACGACACCCAGATTTAAGTTAATGCTTTTTGAAATAAAAATGAAAAGAAGTTGTAATATGTGGCCGGGCATGGTGGCTCATGCCTGTAATCCCAGCACTTCGAGAGGCCAAGGCAGGCAGATCACAAGGTCAGGAGTTCGAGACCAGCCTGGCCAATATGGTGAAACCTTGTCTCTACTTAAAAATATATATATATACAAAAATTAGCTGGGCATGGTGGCGCATGCCTATAGTCCCAGCTACTCAGGAGGCTGAGGCAGGAGAATTGCTTGAACCCAGGAGGCGGAGGTTGCAGTGATCTGAGATCATGCCACTGCACTCCAGCCTGGGTGACAGAGTGAGGCTCTGCCTCAAAAAAAAAAAAAAAAAAAAAAAAGAAGTTGTAACATGTTCCGCTGATATTCCTATGGATCTTCCTTTATAACCACACTTTGGAGATCATTGATTCCTATCACTGCTAATGACTAAGATACTGTGAATAGTTTAAAAACTTGAGATTTATTTTCTTTATTTTTCACAAGAATTCAAATTTTTTACTTTTAAAGCAGCACTTCTTTAGTCACTTATTTGATAACTGGATAATCTACAAACTCAAAGGTTTAGATCACAGAATAACAGATATAAAATGAATAGCTATTTCTTTTTAGACATATTTATCATAATATATAAATGCAGTTTATAAATCTGTAGCCTGTATGTGAAATTTAATATGCCTCTTCAATACACCCACATATTCTATCATGTATAGTAAAAACAACAATATATTAAAAATTTTTGATCTGGAACACAAATATAATTTCTATTACTTTCTAAAGGGCTCTCACCTACTGCATACAGGTACTTTCTTGCTTTCTTCCGAGGTCGAACCTTAGATGTCTGCAGAAAACTACAAAACTTGTTCTCTTTGGGAGATTTGCATACTTCACAGTACTCTTTCAGAAGTGTTTGCAATGCAACACGAAGATTAAAATCGGATACTCCTAAAGCAATATTTAAAAAGACAATGTTTTAAACAATTTTTAAATAACATTGAAAAAACACATTTCTATAAAGATAAGACACATTTAACAATCAATAAATAAAAAATCATCACCAAACAATGGTGTTCGTTTCCTGCAATACTAAATATTGGTACTATTTTAAGGAAAGCATTTTCTTCACTAATGAAAAACAAAAAAGGTTGCTGTTTAAAAATATGCTTCATATGGCCGGGCGCAGTGGCTCACGCCTGTAATCCCAGCACTTTGGGAGGCCGAGGCGGGCAGATCACGAGGTCAGGAGATGGAGACCATCCTGGCTAACACAGTGAAACCTCGTCTCTACTAAAAAATACAAAATATAAGCCGGGCGTGGTGGCGGGCACCTGTAGTCCCAGCTCCTTGGGAGGCTGAGGCAGGAGAATGGTGTGAACCCGGGAGGCGGAGCTTGCAGTGAGCCAAGATCGCGCCACTGCACTCCAGCCTGGGCGACAGAGCGAGACTCCGTCTCAAAAAATAAAAAAAATGCTTCATATATAAGCAGAATAGCAACTAAAAAATATATATGCTTCACAGTATACCCCCATGTATAAGAATTTCCAGGCCGGATGTGGTGGCTCACACCTGTAATCCCAGTACTTTGGCCAAGTCGGGTGAATCACTTGAGCCTGGCCAGCGTGGTGAATGAAAACCTTGCTGCTACAAAAAATACAAAAATTAGCCGGGTGTGGTGGCATGTGCCTGTAGTTCCAGCTACTCAGGAGGTTCATGTGGGAGTACCACTCAAGCTCAGGAGGCAGAGTTTGCAGCGAGGCAGGATTGCACCACTGTACTCCATCCTGGATGACAGGGTGAGACCCTGTCTCAAAAACAAAGAAAAAGAATTTCCAAGATCACAATTATCTAACAAAATTTAAAAATTAAAATAGCCAAAAATTCTATACTTACAACATAACAAAAAAGATATAAAATTATGTCATTAACATTTAAATTTAAGAATGATAGACAAAGCAAGAAAAATAAATTCTGGTGGCATGAGTACCATATCCTAAAAGGATCATGCATATGATGAGGTAGGTTGTCCTTGCTCAAGGGTGCTTAGCTGAGGAGGTAAACTGTGGATGAGAGTCAACCTGTGTTCATTTGCCAAGCTGTAAGACCTGTTCTCCCTGAAAGGGCACTATTTTCTAATTTGCACAAAGGCATTATAAATGCTAGCAAGAGACTGTCTCCTATCTTTCCATCTCTGACCTTTTCTCTCTATCCCAGACAAGAAGCAATATTGAAGAACAATGGTCAACTAACAAAATCTTGAGAATTCTCACTGATAATAATTTGCAGACAGATAGAATCAAGAGTGAAAAGCAGAACCGAGAAAAGTTGAGGAACAAAATTATTAAAAGGAAAAGTCTTCACAGGACCATCAGTAAAGGTAGAAAGGATCACCTGGATCTGCTCTCTAACAGAACACTGTGGTAGCCAAAGTCCACACTGGTGAGATACATCTCTAGCTAGGTTAAGTAGGCCCAGATATAAGATAAATAACAGGAACTCAATAGAGAGGTATCAAAGTCAAGTTCCCAAGTAAGGATCTCAGCCCTAGTGGATCTCTAGTCTTCAACCACCCTCATGCCTCAGGCTAGAAAGAAGTGGCAAGGGCCAGTACAGTGCCTCATGCCTGTAATCCCAGCACTTTGGGAGGCTGAGGTGGGAGGAATGTTTGAGGCTGGGAGTTCAAGACCAGCCTGGACAACATAGTGAGACCCTGTCTCTACAGAAAATTTTAAAATGAGCTGGGCATGGTGATATGAACTTTTAGTTCCAGCTACCCTGGAGGCTGAGGCAGGAGGATCACTTGAGCCCAGGAAGTCAAGGTTTCAGTGACTATGACTGCACTACTGCATGCCAGTGAGTGAGAGAGTGAGAGTGTCTCAAAACAAAACAAAAAACAGAACAAAGGTGGCAAGAACACAACACACAGCCTTCAACTTTTAGACTGGAGAAAACAAAGTAGTTGTACTAGGTAGAAAGAGTGCCAAGGAAAATTAGTTCTTGTATTATTAGAAAAGAGTTTGAACAGAGTTGACATGAACAACAGTTCAGTATGAGCAAGATACCAAGAAAGAGCATATGCCTTATTAAAGTACATCCCAGCGCCAGGTGTGGTGGCTCACGCCTATAATTCCAGCACTTTGGGAGGCCGAGGTGGGTGGATCATGAGGTCAGGAGTTAAGAGACCAGCTTGGCCAACATGGTGAAACCCCATTAGCCAGGCGTGGTGGCACGCACCTGTAATCTCAGCTACTCAGGAGGCTGAGGCAGCAGAATTGCTTGAACCCGGGAGGCAAAGGTTGCAGTGAGCTGAGATCACGGCCACTGCACTCCAGCCTGGGTGACAGAGCAACACTCCGTTTCGGGGGAAAAAAAAAAAAAGTACGTCCCAGTTAAAAGAAGATAAGAAATTGAAGAATTCCGTCGGAAGAAAACATCAGCTACAAATAGACTCCTTGTACGTGCTTCACACAATACAATTATTTAACAATGTAGGTCCTGGCCGGGTACGGTGTTTCATGCCTGTAATCCCAGCACTTTGGGAGGCTATGGTTGGTGGATCACCTGAGGTCAGGAGTTCAAGACCAGACTGGCCAACATGGTGAAACTCCATCTATACTAAAAATTACAAAAATTAGCTGGGCGTTGTAGCAGGCACCTGTAATCCCAGCCACTCGGGAGGCTGAGTCAGGGAGAACTGCTTGAACCTAGGAGGCAGAGGTTGCACTGAGCTGAGATCACACCACTGCAATATCCAACTTGGCCAAAAGAGCGAGACTCTGTCTCAAAAAAAAAAAAAAAAAAAAGAATGTAGGTCCTACAAAACAAGAGCTCAAATATAGATGAGATACATCTCTAAGGAAACAAAGTAAGAACTGAAATGACAGGATTGTAGAGTTAATAAATTAGAAACAATAGATATGACTGAAAATCAAATTACTGATGTGGAGGAAAGGCTTGAGAAAATAATTGTAAATATAGAGAAAAAAAACTATAACATTAGAAGATGATAAATATGAATGACAAAGAAGTTTAAATAAAAGGAAAAAGACTACCAAATGAAACAAAGTTTTTTTTTTTTTTTTTGAGACAGAGTCTTGCTGTGTCCCCAGGCTGGAGTGCAGTGGCGCGATCTCGGCTCACTGCAACCTCCGCCTCCTGGGTTCATACCATTCTCCTGTCTCAGCCTTCCAAGTAGCAGGGACTACAGGCACCTGCCACCACGCCTGGCTAATTTTTTTGCATTTTTAGTAGAGACAGGGTTTCACCCTGTTAGCTAGGATGGTTTCGATCTCCTGACCTCGTGATCCGCCCACCTCTGCCTCCCAAAGTGCTGGGATTACAGGTGTGAGCCACCACGCCCAGCCTTTAAACATTTACAGTATTTAGAAATTTCACACAAGAAAATTTCCCCCGGCTGGGTGCGGTGGCTTACTCCTGTAATCCCAGCACTTTGGGAGGCCGAGGCAGGCAGATCACGAGGTCAGGAGATCAAGACCATCCTGGCTAACACAGTGAAACCCCGTCTCTACTAAAAATACAAAAATAAAAAATTAGCTGGGCGTGGCAGCGGGCGCCTGTAGTCCCAGCTACTCAGGAGGCTGAAGCGAGAGAATGGTGTGAACCCAGGAGGCGGAGCTTGCAGTGAGTTGAGATTGCACCACTGCACTCCAGCCTGGACAACAGAGTGAGACTCCGTCTCAAAAAAAAATAAAAGAAAATTTCCCCAAAAAAAAAGAAAAACAAAAATTTGAAAGAGAAAGGATATATGGCAGTCTAATGAAAAAATGATCAACTTCAAAACAAATCAAGAATAATGAAACAAACCAAAAAAACCTATATAAAACAAGGCTCTATTGACTATGTGACAAAAATGTTGTGACTATAGGCTTGCAGGAACCTAAACCTATATTTCCCCTAGGAGCAATCATTCAGTATTTGCTAATTCTGTGTTCGCAGCAGACTTATAGAACATAACTACTGCAAATAACAATCAACTATATATACAGTAAAACAAGATATCACTCAGAAAAACCTACAAAATTATGTTAACACTGCTAAGATTGGAGAAAAACTAATAATCCCTTATTTTTAATTATATATTTACAGAATTACACCGTTAATGCTTAGCAGTGTATTTAACTTGTAATAAAATCATTTGTAATTCAATAGCAACCTAATCTTTCAATGCATGACAAGAGTAAAAACTTCAAATCTCAAAACCAGGTCTAAAGTAGGCTGGAAAGCAGTGGCACAATCCTGGCTCACTGTAGCCTTGACCTCCTGGGCTCCGGTGATCCTCCCACCTCAGCCTCCCAGGTAGCAGGGACTACAAGTGCATGCTACCATGCCGGGCCAATTTTTTGCCTTTTTTTTTTTTTTGTAGATACAGGGTTTCACCATGTTGCCCAGGCTGGTCTTGAATTCCTGGGCTAAAGCGATCTGCCTGCCTTGGCCTCCTAAAGTGCTAGAATTACAGGCATGAACCACTGCACCTGGCCTAAAGCAATTCTTAGAAATAAATTTAAACATCATTTTTCTAATATAAAGATACAAACTATTTTATACTATGGTAAAACATATTTTCAGAATTAAGTTTAGAATCTAAAGATGATTCAAAGGCTACTCAGAAGCTATAATAGTATATCAACACCAAATTTATTTTATAATGAAGAGACTTATAGGATTCATTGAGTTTTTTTATTTTTAATGTATGCATTTTCTCCAAGTGTTAGGTTTTGCTTAATTTTTCAGAGTAGCAAGAGGAAATCTTACACTGAAATAACTGGTTCTGTCAACAGCAGTTGTTATGTTAGTCGCTCTGTCGGTAATTTTTATCTATAACACTAATCTGCCTTAGTAATCAATCTCAAGAAAGATTTTGATAAAAATAGGTAGAAATATTAAAATACTACTGCCCACCCACAAAACACAAAAGTTGTATCTTACATAATCATTCAATACATTTTTAAAAAGAAAAAAAAAAGAGTAATCATTCAATAAATGTCTGTTACTGAACCAAAAAATGAAAACACTCTCCCACATTTCAGAGAACACATCACTGGATAATTAATCAACTAATTTGATATATAGCAAAAAAGTTACCTTCTATATACTTTAAAAGTCTCTGAGGAGGTAATAAAGGGAATCGAATTGGGTCTAGCACTTCTACCACATGTTTTCTTCTTTTTCCCAAATCTTTCAGAATCCATTGCATTGCAGCTAAGAAGACCTGGTATTCATCCTCAATGCTAAGCTCTTCACTTCGCAAAATTTTGATCAGCTGATCTTTTGTAAGTGCCAGGAACTCTTCTCCACTATGAACCTCTAAGAAATGGACATGAATGTAGTTTTCTGAGAATTCCAAGAGATCATGGCAGGCAATTTGCTCAGAGAACTGAAAGATTCCAATGCAGTTCAGTGGATCAATTTGTCCTTTCAGAAATTCACAGCAAAGATGAACAACTTCAGTCAACTGTAGCATGTCTGCTGCAACAATCAACTCCTGGACATTATTCACACCTATGTTCACTATACCTAGAGAAGTAGGAAGACAAAATGGCCAATAAAATAAAAACATACATTGGCTTACCACATTCAAAAAGTATTACACTTGATTTCACTGATGCTTGCAGAGTAGACAGACGCTTAAAAAGGCAATCAAGGATTTGTGTGAAGAGCACAAAACTTAAACGATAACGATACCTAACACATTTATGAAAAACTTACAATTAACCAGGTGCAGCATTAATTGCTTTATATGCTAATTTAACCCTTATTATACTCCCATGTGGTAGATATTATTTTTCTTATTTTCATATTAAGGAAACAGAATCAAAGTTTAAGTAACTTGTCCACAAGTTGTAAGGTAAAGCAAGTTGCAAGGCAGGGGTTGACATGCTTTTGCTATAAAAAAGAAGGAAATCATGTGCTTTACAGCAACACACATGGAGCTGGAGGCCATGATTCTAAGCAAATTAACACAAGAACAGAAAACCAAATATCATATGTTCTCACTTATAAATGGGAGCTCAACATTGCATACACATGGATACCAAGAAGGCATGGATACACACTGGGGCTTACTTGAGAGTGGAGGGTAGGAGGAGGGTAAGGATTGAAAAACTACATATCAGGTATTATACTGATTATCTGGAGGACAAAATTATCTACATACCAAGCCCCCAAGACACGCAATTTACACATGCAACAAACCCACACGTGTACCTCTTGAACCTAAAAGTTGGAAAGAAAAAAACCAAACAGCAGCAGCAACAACAACAAATAAAGTCTATGTTTTTAACATAAGGTTATATGCATGTAACAAACATTTACTGAGGCACCGGGGAGAGTAAGACAAGGTCTCTAAATGCCATACAATGTTCATTTTTTGTTTGTGTTTGTTTTGAGACAGGGTGTCGTTCTGTTGTCCAGGCTGGAGTGCAGTGGCGCAATCTTGGCCCACTGCAACCTCTGCCTCCTGTGCTTAGGTGAGCCTCTCACCTCAGCCTCCCGAGTAGCTGGTACTACAGACACTCACCACCATGATCGGCTAATTTTCTGTATTTTTTTGTAGAGACAGGGTTTCACCATGTTACCCAGGTTGATCTCAAACTCCTGGGCTCAAGCAATCCACCCACCTCAGCCTCCCAAAGTGCTGGGATTACAGGCGTGAGCCACCACACCCAGCACAATGCTAGTTTTTAATATTAGGAATAACCAAGAATCTATAACATAAGAGAAACTATTAAATACTCAAACTATGTATACCACTTTCTTTTCCAAGGGCTTCGCTTTCTTTTTTAAGTTTTTTTATTTTTTTTCAAGACAGAGTCTCACTATGTCGACCAGGATGGAGTACAGTGGTGCATTCTTGGCCCATTACAACAAACACCTCCCAGGTTCAAGTGATTCTCCTGCCTCAGTCTCCCAAGTAGCCAGGATTACAAGTGCCCACCACCACAACCGGCTAATTTTTGTATTTTTAGCAGAGACGAGGTTTCGCCATGTTGGTCAGGCTGGTCTCAACCTCCTGGCCTCAGGTGATCCACTCACCTCAGCCTCCCAAAGTGCTGGGATTACAGGCGTGAGCCACCACACCCAGCCTTTTTTGTTCGTTTGTTTGTTTTTTGAGACAAGGTCTTGCTCTGCTGCCCAGGCTGGAGTGCAGTGGCATGGTCTCTGTTCACTGCAACCTCTGCCTCCCAGGTTCAATCAATTCTTCTGGCTCAGCCTCCTGAGTAGCTGGGACTACAGGTGTGCACCACTAAGCCCAGCACAACTCCGCCTCAAAAAAAAAAACAAAATTAGCCAGGTGTGGCGGTGCGTGCGCCTGTAGTCTCAGCTACTAGGGAGGCTGAGGTGGGAGGACTGCTTGAGCCTAGGAGTTCGAGACCAGTCTGGGCAACATAGCCAGACATAATCTCTAAAAAAAAAATTTTCTTTTAATTACCCTGGCATCATGGTGTGTGTTGTGGTCCTACAGGTACTCAGGAGGCTGAGGTGAGAGGATAGCTTGATGAGCCCAGGAGGTCAAGGCTGCAATGATCTTGCCACTACATTCCAGCATAGGTGACAAAGCAAGACTCTGTCTCACAAAATAAAAGATAAAAGAGGCTGGGCACAGTGGCTCTCGCCTGTAATCCCAGCACTTTAGGAGGCTGAGGTGGGCAGATCACTTGAGGTCAGGAGTTCGAGATCAGCCTGGCCAACATGGTGAAAACCCATCTCTACTAAAAAAAAAAAAATACAAAAATTAACTGGGCATGTTAGTGCAAGCCTATAATCCCAGCTACTCGGGAGGCTGAAGCAGGAGAATCGCTTGAAACTGGGAGGCAGAGGTTGCAATGAGCCAAGATTGTGCCACTGTACTCCAGCCTGGGCGACAAAGTGAAACTCCATCATACACACACACACACACAAAAAGAGTAATATATATTCACTGTGGAAAAAGAATTTTAAGACAGAAAAACTAAAATGAAAAACGTATTTTTCCATACACAGACACATTGTATTAACACTGTAGTGTCTCTTCATATATTTTTTCTCTCTTTTTTTTTTGAGACAGAGTCTTGTTCTGTTGTCCAGGCTGGAGTGCAGTAGCATGATCATCACTCACTGAAGCCTCAGCATCCTGGGCTCAAGTGATCATCCTACCTCAACCTTTCAAATCTTTTTTCTATGCATATTTGTTGCATATCATATAAGACTATACATTGTTTTGGTGTGCCTTCTCTTTCTTCCCCCTCCCCTACTCCCCTCCTCATCATCCCAGTTGTTTTATTTTCTTTATTTAGAGATGGGGTCTCACTCTCTCTCCCAGTCCAGGGTATAGCAGCTTGATCGTAGCTCACTACAGCCTCAAACTCCTGGATCTTTCCACATCAGCCTCCCGTTAGCTGGGACTAAAGGCACAAGTGACCATACCCAGCTAATTAAAAAAAAAAAAATTTTGGCTGAGCGCAGTGGCTCATGCCTGTAATCCCAGTACTTTGGGAGGCCAAGGCAGGTGGATCACGAGGTCAAGAGATCGAGACCATCCTGGCCAACATGATGAAACCCGGTCTCTACTAAAAATATAAAAATTAGCTGGGTGTGGTGGCGCATGCCTGTAGTCCCAGCTAGTCAGGAGGCTGAGGCAGAAGAATTGCTTGAACCTGGGAGGCGGAGGTTGCAGTGAGCTGAGATCACGCCACTATACTCCAGCCTGGCGATAGAGCGAGACTCTGTCTCAAAAAAAAAAAAAATTGTTTTTTTAGCCTGGGTAACATAGTGAGACCCTCTTTCTACAAAAAAATTTGTTTTACATTAGTCAGGCATGGTGGCATGTACCTGTAGTCACAGCTATGCAGGATGGTGAGATGGTAGCACTGCTTTAGCCCAGAAAATCAAGACTGCATTGAGGTGTGAGTGCATGACTGCACTCCAGCCTGGACAACAGAGAGAGACCCTGTCTCAAACAAAATTTTTTTTTAAGAAATGGGGTCTTGCTATGTTGTCCTGCCTATTTTTGAACTCCTGGCCTCAAGCAGTCCTCTTACAATGGCCTCCCGAAGTGCTGGGATTACAGGCATGAACCACTGTGCTCTTGTGTACATTCTCTAATGTTATTAAAACTCCTCAAAAACATTTAAGAAATAGTTTTGAGTAAAATAACATATGCTGATTACAAACACTTTGTGGAAAAAAATTACCTACAGATAAATGCTATCAAACATTCTGGTCACTTTCTCATGTGTAAATACACATAAGTTTTTTGGGTTTTGTTTAAAACAAAATAGGGGTTTACTTATATTCTGATTTTTAAAATTTTATATATTATAAACATTCCTCCATAATAGTATACATATATTTTAAGATTTGTTAGATCTCATTTGTAAGATCTATGTATGTATCATAATTTATTTAGCCATAAAACCTACTGAGACAAGAGTTTATTCAATTATATACTGCTATAAATAAAGTCACAGGCCAGGTGCAGTGGCTCGCGCCTGTAATCCCAGCACTTTGGGAGGCCAAGGTGGGCGGATCACGAGGTCGGGAGATTGAGACAATCCTGGCTAGCACGGTGAAACCCCATCTCTACTAAAAATTAAAAAAAAAAAAAAAATTAGCCAGGCGTGGTGGCATGCGTCTGTGTCCCAGCTACTCGGGAGACTTAGGCAGGAGAATCACTTGAACCTGGGAAGCAGAGGTTGCAGTGAGCCAAGATCGCCCCACTGCACTCCAACCTGGGTGACAGAGGGAGAATCCATCTCGAAAAAAAAATCAAATAATAATAATAATGTTACAATAAAATCCTGGTTTGTAAATATGTGCCTGCATCATTAATTAATTCCTTCAGATTCCTAGAAAAGGAGCACCGGGTCAAAAGATATGAAATTTTCAGTCACATAATAACATGTTGCTAAATTACCTTCTAGAGTAATTAAAAAGTTAGATCAATTTATTTTTCCACATTAGTGCATGAGTGATTGTATCATTCTTCAGTCAAAACAACAGGCTCATGTAACATACCTGTGTAAACGAAATCTAGAAGTATCTGAAAGATTCCTGCTTCAATTCCTAGAATTGGTACAACATCTTTTGAGGACTCTTTCATTCCTCCAGTGAACAAAGCTGCAAAGTAAGGACTGCTGGCAGCCAAAACCAGCCGATGAGCTTTAAAAGTTTCCTTTCCAACTTGCAGCTGCACATCACAGAAATGCTGTCCATTTCTCATCTTATTGATTTGGGCCAAGATGAGCTGGGCATGTTTATCTGATGAAAAAGGACTATCAGCAGCCTTGGGACAGCCCTCATTAGCCATGATGACGATACATTAATTAAAAGGACTGTTGCCCATAATCTATTACTACCCTGAAAAACAAAATACAAAGAGATCAAGCAACAATTTTTTTTAACATGCTTTCTATTCACACATAAGAAACATTCTCTATACTTAAAATCTACTTAGGACATAAACATAAAACAAATAAGGACTAAAGTATGTTACTATTAATATTTCTAATATGGTTTCAGAGAACAAAATAAGTAGGGAGGCTAAAATAATTGGAGAATGCTTCACACAAGAAATGGGACCTGCACTAGAGGAGGATAAAGAGTTAATACTAAGGTATGAGGAGAGGACACTTCTTGATGGAATAAAAATAATAATAATAAAGCACAAAGAAGAAAGTTAACAAAGCACGTATCACAGACAACAGGAACTTTCAAAAAGCAGTTGTGATCAGTCTAACTGCTTAAAATCCTTCAATGTGTACACTTCCTGTAGCACACAAAGCCCTTCAGGATTCTTGTCATAATTCAAGACTGTTCAAATATAACTTCCTCCAGGAACCTTTCCCTGTTCCTCCTCTGGAATTGTGGAAATATGGTCCCAAACTCACCTAAGTTTGTTGCTCACCCTAAGCTTATTGGTTTTACATTCTATAGCACAGGTCTACCTTACCAAATACCCTACCACCCTACTCCTAGTGCGTGCGCGCGTGCGCGCGCGCACACACACACACACACACACACACACACACACACACACACACTGAAAGCTCCTTGAAAGACAGCCCTTTAAGTGCAGGTACTATCTTTCATAGCTCTAGCACCAGTATATAACATATGTTAGGTTTCCAATGTTTGTGAAATGAATGAGAAGAAGAAGAAATAACAATAGCTTAGGTTGGGTTGTTTTTTTTTTTTAACTTTTAGCTTCTCCACATATTATGTCAATGGTAATTCTCACAATAATTAAGAGGTGAGAAGAAAAGATAATCTTATCTAAAATGAGAGAAAGGGAAATTGAAGCTCAAAGTTTCCCCAAGGATACAATGTTAGTATGACAGTCTCAGTATCTGAATCCAGGCCTTCTTACTCTAAATCCAGGACTGTTCCACCATATCACTCCATAGGAATTATTAGGCCACTGCACCCTTCCTAAATTACTTTTTAAATAAAGAAACTGCTGGGCACAGTGGCTTGTGCCTGTAATCCCAGCACACTGGGATGCTGAGGCGTGGGGATCACTTGAATCTAGGAGTTCGAGAACAACCTGGGTAACATGACAAAACCCCATCTCTGCTAAAAATTAAAAAATTAGCCAGGCGTGGTGGAGCAGGGCTATAATCCCAGCTACTTGGGAGGCTGAGGCATAAGAATCGCCTGAGCCCAGGAGATAGAGGTTACAGTGAGCTGAGATCACACCACTGCCCTCCACCCTTTAGCCTGGGTGACAGAGCAAGACTCTGTCTCAAAATAAATAAATAAATAAATAAATAAATAAACAAACCATGAGATCGTGTAATATAACATATGGAATAGCACAGGGAAATTTAAGATGACTAAGATTTTGTAATTTAGGTATCAATGGGTAATAAGACTTATAGTGTGTGCTGATGTTAGAAAAAAATGGTTACATTTATAGCATTTAAACGTATCAAAGTCAAAATAACAAGGATGATTATCATGACTTTCTAGGAATTAACTTATTGAGAAATTTGATTGAGAAGTTCAAAGGTAGCTGCTAAAGCTTCATATCATCATCTACAGAATATCAACATATTACATATAACTAGCATATAAAAGCAAGCAGTGTTTGAGGTGATGAATATGCTAATTACCCTGATTTGATCATTACACATTACATACATGTATCAAAATATCGCATTTTACCCCATAAATGTAAATATAAAACAATCATTATGTGTCAATTTAAAAAATATCTATTTTTGGGGACAGGGTCTCACTCTGTCACCCAAATTGGAGGGAAAAATAAATTTTTTAAAGAGGGCGAGGGCCAGGCGCAGTGGTTGGGCTGGGCGCGATGGCTCACGCCTGTAATCCCAGCACTTTGGGAGGCCGAGGAGGGTGGATCACGAGGTCAGGAGATCGAGACCATCCTGGCTAACACGGTGAAACCCCGACTCTATTAAAAATACAAAAATTAGCCCAGCGCAATGGCAGGTGCCTGTAGTCCCAGCTACTCAGGAGGCTGAGGCAGGAGAATCGCGTGAACACAGGTGGCAGAGGTTGCAGTGACCCGAGATGGCGTCACTGCACTCCATCCTGGGTGACAGAGCGAGACTCTGTCTCAGAAAAAAAAAAAAGGGCGAAAGGGGCTGGGCACAGTGGCTCATACCTGTAAGCCCAGATCTTCAGGAGGCTAAGGCAGGCGGATTGCTTGAGTCCAGGAGTTTGAGACCAGCCTGGGCAACATGGCTAAACCCTGTCTCTACTAACAATACAAAAAAAAATTAGCCCGGCATGATAGCACAGGCCTGTAGTCCCAGCTACTCAGGGAAGGCTGAGGTGGGAGGACCACCTGAGCCAGGGAAGTTGAGGCTGCAGTGAGCTGAGATGGCACCACTGCACTCTAGCCTGGATGACCGAGGAAGACCCTGTCTCAAAAAAAAAAAAAAGCGGTGGCTCATGCCTTTAATCCCAGAGCTTTGGAAGGCTGAGGCAGGTGGATCACCAGAGGTCAGGCACTCAGGACCAGCCTGGCCAACACGGGGACCCCATCTCAACTAAAAAATGCAAAAAATTACTCAGGCATGGTGGTGGGCGCCTGTAATCCCAGTGACTCCGGAAGCTTAGGCAGGAGAATAGCTTGAACCTGGGAGGCAGATGTTGCAGTGAATGGAGATCGAGCCATTGCACTCTAGCCTGGGCAACAGACAGACTCTGTCTCAAAAAAAAAAAAAAAAAAAGGGCGGGGGAGGTGGGGGAGGAGAAAGCATGTATTTGGCCCTACACAGAAATGTGACCTGGAAACATTATCAACATGACGTGACTGTCAGGCCTTTTCTGTTTTACATTTCTGTCAGAACATTTTGAACCCTAGTGGTTTAAATACAAGGTACTTCCTCTGTCCCTTCAAGGCATCAACCACAGTCACTGAGCTAAAATGCTGCCTCCTGCTACAAGAAAGAGTTGACTGAATATCCATTCGGGTGGCAAACAATAGAAATACTAGTCTGTTACCATGCTTCTCAGTAACTGCTGATACCATCCCACTGTCAGTGGAGTAGGAACGTCATCCCAAAAGGTGGCATGTGGAATGACCACATTTCCAAAGGAAAAGAGCGCAATTTTGCGACATTGCATAGGGATATAAGGGACATGCCTGATGTGCCCCAAATTTGAAAAGCAGATTATTGGCTGGGCAAGGTGGCTCACACCTGTAATCCCAGCACTTTGGGATGCCCTGGCGGGAGGATCGCTTGAGTCCTGGAGTTCAAGACCAGTCTGGGGAACATAGTGAGGCTCCCCTAAAAAGTTTTTAAACATTAGCTGTGTGTGATGGGGCACGCCTGTACTTCCGGCTACTCAGGAGGCTGAGGTTAGAGGATCGCTAGAGCCTGAGAAGTCAAGGCTGCAGTGAGTTGTGATCTCACCACTGCACTCCAGCCTAGGCGACCGGGCGAGACTGTCTCAAAAATACTAGGAAACGGTAGAATTGCCCAGAGGAACTAAAGCGGGACCCATGTTTGCTAGCTTTGAATTCACTGCTGAGAACATGCCGAAACTGCTTCAACAAAGGGGTGTCAGAAACAACCCCCGGAACAAGCGTCAAAACACCCGTGGTTCTTTGTGCTTGAGTTCGGGGCCCAACATAGAGAGCTAGTCCTAAACTGCTGCTACACTAAAAGCTAATAATCGTTCCTGCGCTACCTAAAGTTCAGGGAAGGGATCTCAGACAAACGAAGCGACAACAGAGGGACTGGGGACACAGCCTCAGGATTCCCCAGTTGGGGCGGGGCAGGCAGGACCGGTCCGGACAGGAAGGTCTGGAGAGGGCGACACTTAAGACTGTCGGAGGAAGGCCTGCGGCGGCCGGAGGAAAGGCAAGGAAATACACATTTCTAGAGGTTTCTCTGTCTAGTCCTCTGGGGTCCGGAAAGCCGGAGAGAGTATAAGAGGAAGTTCCCAACCCCGTCAGAGACGCGCCCGGACGCAGGATCTCCTTACCCGCCGCTTCCCCTTCCCTCCGACGCCCGCTCAGGCCCTGCGCGCGCAATCGCGACCAGCCCCGGCCGGAAAGGGCGGGGAAAACCTGGCGGGGGTGACGAGGCGGGAGTGAGTGGGCCGTGCAGTGCCCCCAGGACGGGAGGCGAAGCCGGGCCGGGTGGAGGGGCTTCTGATGCTTTGCGGCCCCCTGGGTTTCCACTGCGCGTGCGCGAGGTTCTTCCGCTCGCAGGTGGCGGTGCCGCGGGAGCCTGTCAGTGCCCACTGTTGGGGCCCAGGGCTTCGGCTTGCTTCCCCGCGGACCCACAGCCTAGCTGCAAGCCTCTGCTCCTGCCTGCTGGGGCCAGCTGGCTCGCCCTTTCCATCCCGCTTGCACTCTTGATTCTTGTGGTGTCCCGGGAAGGCCGTGGATCTCAGTGTTAAGGAGAGACGCGCCGAACACCTGGCACGGTGCTTCTCTACTGTTCTCTCCAATCGTTTTCTGAGTCTGCATGACTGAGCCTGGCACTGAAGGGATGCTTATTTTGGGGAAGGAAGAACTCAAAGTCCAGGTTTTTTCACTGTTGACCCTCGTGTCACATTAGTGGCTTTCAAACTGTTTTGATTCCAGCCTACGGTGAACAAAAATATTTTACATCAAACCCAATATATACTTGTGATTATACATATAGATGTATATATCTGACACAAAATTTTATTTCTTTGTTTTTAATTTTTGTTTTTCGAGACGGAGTTTTCGCTCTTGTTGCCCAGGCTGGAATGAATGCAATGACCCGATCTCGGCTCACGGCAACCTCTGTCTCCTGGGTTCAAGCGATTCTCCTGCCTCAGCCTCCCAAGTAGCTGGGATTGCAGGCATGCGCCACCATGCCTGGCTAATTTTGTATTTTTAGTAGAGACAGGGTTTCTCCATGTTGGTAAGGCTGGTCTCAAACTCCCGACCTCAGGTAATCCGCCCGCCTTGGCCTCCCAACGTGTATTTCTTTCTCTTTTTATGAGACAGGGCCTGGCTCTGTCGCCGAGGCTGGAGTGCAGTAGTGCCATCTCGGCTCACTCTAGCCTCCACTTCCTGGGCTCTGGCAATCCTCCCACCTCAGCCTCCTGAGTAGCTGGGATTACAGGCCTGTGCCACCACTCCCAGGCTAATTTTTTGTATTTTTAGTAGAGACAAGATTTTGCCATGTTGACCAGGCTGGTCTCCAACTCCTGGGCTCAAGTGATCCGCCAGCCTCAGCCCCCAAAAGTGTTGGGAGGTGTGAGCCACCGTGCCTGGCCTGAAACAAAATCTTCGCAAAACTACGTTTACACTTACGACCCGCAGTGCACTATATTTCTATTTCTTCTTTTCTCTTTCATTACCAAAAACTGCTAACAGGGACCTATTGTCAGCAAACATTGTCAAAGATTTGGAAATGAGGAAAAGAGAATTCTGGGTGCCCTTTCAGTGTAAGGCTGGAAGGATTTGCATCCGTAGGGAGCTCTTTCTATTGACTAAACTATTTTACCAGAAAACTGATAGTACTCAAAATAATTCTGCCCATTGGTAGAAAATATACACCAAAACATTGCTTTATTAACCTGTAGCATATTAAACCATTTTTAGCCTTCTTAGCAAATTCATTTAAACATTCCTGATTCTTAGCAAATTCATGCTACACTCCTAAACACCATACTGGCTCCCTTCTAAGTTAATAAGATGAATAAAATATTTGATACCTATTCATTTTATATTTGTAAGAGAGTCATGATTTTACTTTTCAGAAAATTATGCTTCAGCACTACTAAAATCAATTTCATGATTTACTACTGGATTACGCCTGTGAAAGTTGAGCATACAAATTGGGTCATTCTTGTCATACCCAATGAAAACAGTGGGAGGGGAAGCACTGAGGGCACATTACATTGCTCAAAGAATGTAGTTTTCTGCAACCCTGGCTGCTGAAACTGCCTGTTGTAACCTGACACCAGTTTTACCCAATAGCTATTGAAACAAACTGCCATGACTCAAAGACTAGTTTGGTTTTTTGGTGGTTTGTTGTTGTTGTTATTGTTTGTTGTTTTGTTTTGTTTTTTGACAGCGTCTCTCCCTGTCACCCAGGCTGGAGTGCAGTGGTGTGATTGGGGCGGGGCTCACTGCAGCCTAGACCTGCTGGACTCAATCAATCCTCTCACTTCAGCTTCCCAAATAGTTGGAACTACAGGTGCATACCAGCAAGCTCAGCTAATTTTTGTCTTTTTTGTAGAGAGTCTTTTTTGTCTTTTTTGTTTCATCATGTTGCCAGGCTGGCCTTAAATTCCCAGGCTTAAGTGATCCACTCACCTAAATCTCCTAAAGTCCTGGGATTACAGGCTTGAGCCACTGAGCCCAGCCTCAAAGGACTAGTTTTACCCACCGCAGTCACTCACCAATCAGAGCTTGCCAGCAACCTAAAACTTACCTAGTGCCAATGAACTTTCTTTCAAAGTCATATGTAACTTTTCTCCTTTTTGTAAAACCTCAAACAGTGAACCAAAGAACACCCAGTCTGCATATGCTTTGAATTGTAATTCTTGCCTCCCAAATAAAGTGTTACATTTAGAGATTAGTCTCTGCATTTTTTTTTTTTTTTTTTTTTTGAGATGGAGTCTCGCTCTGTCACCAGGCTGGAGTGCAATGGTGCGATCTTGGCTCACTGCAACCTCCGCCTCCCGGGTTCACGCCACTCTCCTGCCTCAGCCTCCCAAGCAGCTAAGACCATAGGTGCCCACCACCACGCCCAGCTAATTTTTTGTATTTTTAGTAGAGACAGGGTTTCACTGTGTTAGCCAGGATGGTCTCGATCTCCTGACCTCGTGATCCTCCTGCCTCGGCCTCCCAAAGTGCTGGGATTACAGGCATGAGCCACGGCACCTGGCCTAGTCTCTACATTTTTATTTTATATACTTTAGCATATATACCTAGGAGCAGAATTGCTGGAACGTAGGGTATGTTCATCACCAATTTCATTAGAAAGTACTTCACTTAACTCTTATCCAAACTGTTCCAACCTACATTTCCACCAGCAGTGAATGAGAATTCTCTTGCTCTGCATCCTTGCCAACAGTTAATATCATCAGATGTTTTGATTTTGTATAATCTGGTGGGTATAAAATGTTATCTCACTTTTATTTTAATTTATATTCTCTGATCATTAATGAGCTTGGTCAGTAAAAAGATGTTTATAGGCTGATGGCCAGGCACAGTGGCTCAGCTGTGATCTCAGTATTTGGGGAGGCTGAGGCAGGTGGATCACCTGAGGTCAGGAGTTGGTGACCAGCCTGGCCAACATGGTGAAACCCCAGCTCTACTAAAAGTACAAAAAAAAAAAAAAAAATTAGCTGGGCATGGTGGTGCATGCCTGTGATCCCAGCTACTCTGGAGGCTAAGGCAGGAGAATTGCTTGGACCTGGGAGGCAGAGGTTGCAGTGAACTGAGATTGTGCCACTGCACTCCAGCCTGGGCAAAAAAGCAAGTCTTCATCTATAGGCTAGTCTAGACTAAACTGTGTCCTCCCCACAATTTACATGTTGAAGCCCTAGCCTCCAATGTAATGGTATTTGGAGATAGGGCCTTCGGGAGATCATTAGGGTTAGATGAGGTCATTAGGGTGGGATCATCATGAGATTAGAGTCCTTGTAAGAAGACAGGCCAGAGTGTACTTGCTCTGTCTTGCGCTCTCTCTTTCTCTCTCTGTCTCTGTCTCTCTCTCTCACACACACACTCACACACACACACACACACACACACACACACAGAGAAACAAAAGATTATGTGAGCACATAGTGAGATGATGGTTGCCTGCAAGCCAAGAGAAGAGGCCTTAGAATGAAACCTACCCTACTGGCACCTTGATCTTGGACTTCCCAGTTTCTAAAACTTTGAGAAATAAATTTCTGTTGTTTAAGCCACTCAGTCTATGGTATCTTGTTAGGGCAGCCAGAACAGACTAAGACATAGGCTGATTAAATTTCTTTATTTTGTTGTTATTTTTCTGATATGGGGTCTTGCTCTGTCACCTAGGCTGGAGGGCAGTGGTGTGATCACAACTCACTGCAGCCTGGAACTCTTCAGCCCAAGCAATCTTCCTGCCCAGCTCCCTTCAACACCCTCCCCTCCCCAGCGGTAGCTAGGACTACAGGCATAGGCCACCATGCTCAGCTAATATATATATATATATATTTTTTTAAATTTTGTATGCCAGATGCAGTGGCTCACACCTATAATCCCCTCACTGTAGGAGGCCTAGATGGGAGGGTTGCTTGAGCCCAGGAGTTCAAGATCAGCCTGTACAACATAGGGAGATCCTGTCTCTACAAAACAAACAAACCAAAAAACCTCCCTGCGTTGTCCAGGCTTGTCTTGAACTCCTGGTCTCAAGCGATCCTTCTGCCTCATCTCTCAAAGTGTTGGAATTACAGGCATAAGCCACTGCACCTGGCCAAAGTTTCTTTTTCTATAAAATGGTTGTTCATGTCCTTTGCCCATTTTTATTTTTTATTATTTGTTTATTTATTTATTTATTTTTTAAGATGGAGTCTCACTCTGTAGCTCAGGTTGTAGCGCAGTGGCAGGATTTTGGTTCACTGCAATCTCCACCTTCTGGGTTCAAGCATTTCTCCCACCTCAGCGCCCCCTTAAGTAGCTAGGACTACAGGTCTTCACCACCACACCTGGCTAATTTTTTGTATTTTTAGTACAGATGGGGTTTCATAAAAAATAAACCAACTTCAAAAATGGGCTGGGTGCCGTGGCTCACCCCTGTAATCCCAGCACTTTGGGAGGCCGAGGTGGGCAGATAACTTGAGGTCAGGAGTTCGAGACCAGCCTGGCCAACATGGCGAAAGCCCACCTCTACTAAAAATACAAAAAAATTAGCCAGGCATGGTAGCAGAAGCCTGTGATCCCAGCTACTGCACTCCAGCCTGGGCGACAGAGTGAGACTTTGTCTCAAGAAAAAAGAAGAAAAAAGAAAAACAAAATTCATTTTTTTGTATTGATTTGTAGGAGGATTTTTTATTGTATGTGTTACTGTTGGAAACAAGTGCTCAGCATAGCCAAAAGAAACCCGCACTTAGACAGAAAATTTCTCAGCAAGGCAGCTTTACTTCTGCAGGACAGTGCTGCTTGTGGCCTGTTACAATCACAAGAGCACACCCAACAAAGGAGGAAAGGAGTTTTTAATCCTAACGCAGTTCCTGTTTCTGTGTCCTTCCCCTATTGGCTGGGGTTGGACCGCACAATCTAAGCTGATCCTGATTGGCTAAGACTTAAACTTTTCCAAATATGGTAAATGTACAATTTGCGAAAAGAAGAAGAAGGCGGGGCGGGTAGGATTGATTTACAACTTTTACAACTTACGACCGGAAAGTTGAGTCTTTGAAGAGGAACTTAGTTGTCCCAACAATTTCCCCTCTTCTGTTC